CGCCTTTAACTTAATCCCTGCAAGAAATCCGAGTCTGTACGTCGAAAAAAATGCTGAACTATCCTCATTCCGGGAGAAAACCCGAAATAGGTATATAACTAAATCCCTTAATATATGAATCCAGCAAGAAAAAGAATTGTAGGGATACTCGTCCTTTTAAAATGTCTCATAAATCACAAACTTGATATCAAATTGAAGAACATTTATTTCTAACTCTACATTTTTGTTTCGGATATAGTCGCTAACGCCCCTGAAATATAAATGAAATGAATGCGTATGTAACACAACCACATTTTGTTTCGAATCGTGTGCAAATTACGTAGGTAATTTGTATTCAATCCAATATAGATATTATGGTTATGTCAATGCAAAATTGGGGGTAGAAAATTATAATCGCGGTTGCATTTTAAATCGGGGTCGTCTCCGTTGTCAGTTAAATTGGGTAGATAAGCAGCTGAGTTGCGAGTTAATTTTGTGGGTAATTCGGGGTTTACAACTTTTAATTTCAAAATCAGACTTTCGGGCCTGATTTACAGCTTGTGGGCGTGTAAACTGCTCACATTTAAATTCATTATCGCGAAAAGCAAAAGAATAATCATGAAATTCACTTACAATACAGTAGGCTTGTTCCTTAAGGGGGCATTCCTTCAACTGCATATGGGTGTAATTAATGCATGGAGTTATGGATCCAACCCCATCATTATATTGCCCACATAAAAAACATTGTAACGCAAATGTGGATGCGACGAAACTAAAAGTTAGGTATACGAAGAATGCGCTATTTACAGCCATTTTTTATTGTATGGGGCTTTCTTTTAAAAAAGTTGCGATATCTGCAAGAATTTATTACGTAAGTATCGCGCACAAGCGAATTCGCCTGGTATATCTTCACCGTGCAAGAACTTTCAGCAAACTAACTTTGAAAGCGCGCCCTAGATGAGGTTGGCTCCAGCCCTTATCAATAAAATACGGATTGTTCGAAAAAGGGCGCAGCAGATGAATAAATTTCCAAATTTTCTACTTACATACAGATAGCGGTTACATTTTCCACTCCGAAATGTTGCAAATATTCTAATTCGCGAAATTTCACAGCACCTGCAAAGTCAAAATGGTAAAATGCAAAAAATAATTCAACTTAAAATGCAATGCCTGAATTGCACTCGTAGATCGCGTGAAACAATCTCTCAATTGTGAGGGTACCTGAGTTGTTAAAAGTCTTCGTCGACTGCTGAAGGGTCTCATTACTTCTAACTTGTATAAGGATAATTTTACCTAAATTACTCTCACGAGTATTTCTCTTTTTTTCCATCTGAAAATGAAAAGTTGTCTCATTATTGTTGTAAAGCATAAATAACGTATTTTTATCTTACAGATTTGCTACTTTCTTTGTTCTAATTGGGAATTTAAGCTCGGAATTTTGATTTCAACTTCGGAACAATAATGAATGACCGCATTTCAGGCATATTTTGTGCATTAACTCGTTAATTTTTTGTTATTTGCAGTACATTCGAAATTAAATGACACTAACAAAGATCATGTAATATGATCTTTGCTCACTAGTAAACGGGGGACACTTTCTCTTCAAATGAGTAGTAAAAAAACTGTTCGATCACTTTTTGTTCCTTAACTCAAGTACCTATGTAGACAACAAATTTCGTGGAATTCTTTCCACTTTAGTTGTCCGGCCCAGTTACGGTGAAATCTTTTTCGAATTTTCGAACACTAATTTTAGATTCCTGATTTTCATGTTCAAAAACCCCCAGATACCAAATTAGGAGTGCACCCTTTCGTGGTACGAAAAAAATGCAAAATCGGAAAGGGCATACCCAAAAAACATATTCAAAGACGTGCCACCAGTCTTTCCAACTCTTATGGATGCTGAAAAAAAAAATGAAACAAGAAATGCAAATTTCACCACTTCTTTGAGGAAGGCTCCCAAACGAAACAGGTTGGACCCTCGGTTTATTTGGAAAAAGTGCTTCTTTTTTACATACTTATATGTAACACCCTGTATATAATTTATTAAGTAAATACTTTTACAGACACATCGAAAAATTACTAACCAATCAACAGTCACATTTAATAATAGGTAAACCTTCATGAAAACCACTTAACAAAAAACCATAAAAACATTAAAAAAACTACCAATGTTTTATTTATTGTGGGGGCGTTGCCATATTGGTAAATAATGATGTAAAGGTTACACATCACTAAATACAAATCTATAGTGCGATTCACACTTAATGATTATTGACTTATGAGTTCAGTGTTGATCTTATAAAGGGTCGCTTTGCCAAATCTTTGCGTTGTCTCACAAAATCCAGGTTGGAGAAACCTATTATATTAGCATAATAAAATACATATATTCCACGGAAAGAAACAATTTACCATCATACTTAAATAACGTTAAAGTTATGTAGAATTGTTGCAGCAAGTGCATATCATGTTAACAAGCTAATTTGGATTAATAATCATGGAACAACCAAGTAACTGTAAACTTAGAACTTCAAAGAATAATACAAACATTCATATTTCACGGAAAGAATGCTCACATCCGCTTTTGTTTCTTATCGCCAATTACTAATATGTTATGATGCCTCGATTTCTATCGGGATTTTTAGAATAATCGCTGCACTCTCTCCCTCTTGCATCTCAAAATTTCGTCCCAGGTCAGAGTCAAATCTAATAAAAAAAATTTACCAGTCGATCACAGTTATCGCTTCTTGATTTAGTAGAGCATATGCTTCTCTGTCCATGCCAGAATTTGTCACCAGTCCAGTGTTATCAAAAAGAAATTAGGTTTCCTGAAGTTATCAATTCGAAGTGCACCTGAATATTGCAATTTTTACGGCCAGATTTATTGGATTATTTAAAAAAAAAACGTAAGTAATAAGATTTCTTAATTTAATTGTCCTTCGAACACCTGCGTGCGTGGTATGTGTAAAAACAAGTTCTGATTACTTTTCTTCCTTCCAGAATTGTTATTTTAATTTCTTTTATATTTTGCGGAATAAATGTTTGTCTTTATCAATTAATTAAGTGTGTGTTTAATCAAACCCATTCGCGACCTGGATACAGTTTTCATGTCAGATTTTTCTTTTCGTGCCAAATAATTCTATCAAGGCATAATCAAAATATTATTTAGTTAACCCTTTGAAATTATTGACAGTTGATCAAGGCCACTTTGTTTTCGAAATATAATTCAAGTCAGTCTAGGGATTTTTCATTATAATGGAAGTTGGAGGTGTACGAGGAAAAATAACAAAATTCAAAATTTGACTTGTTTTGAGCTAGCTGGACAGATGTGTTGTGGGTTGTCATTGCACACAGCAATATGTTCTTCTTTATGGAACGGGTGCGTCACCACGAATATACTCCCCCAAGTTAAGTCTATTTTGTAAAATAACGTATTGAAAATATACAATTTTGTGCTGCGTTTTAGAAGAGAAAACGAGTAACTTTAGCGCATTTTCCATAAATTGATCAGTACTTCCTGAAAGTTCCTATAATGGACTATTTGTGTATGCAAAGGAAAATAAGTTATGGCATAAAATATATTTTTATAAATAATGTCTGCGCATGCACACATCTGATATTTAAAATATGCGATATGTTTGCCCTTACTACAAGAATCTGTGTTTAAATTTTCAAAAAATATCTCTTAAAATAAGAAAGTTGACATTGCGCAGTTTGCGCATGCATGCGCACATCTGAATTTTACAATATGCAATATGTTTGCATCTGTGGTTAAGATTTTAAAGAAATATCTCCATAAATAAGTAACTTGACAGTGGGTATGCATCTGATTTTTACAATATGCAATATGCTTGTCTTTACTAGAAGATTTTCCTTGGCCTCCCACCACCAAAACCCGGTACATCCCATCCTGGCGATGTACATACATCCCGGACCCCGGCACCGTTTTCTCTGCGAGAACCCATCCCGACGACCGTTACTATCCCGGCATCGGCCATTCCGGCGATTTGTACCTGGCGACGACCTATCCCTGCAACTATTGCTTTCCTGGCATCGGTTATCCCGGCAATGCACACTTTCCTAACAACGCACGTCTGCCCAACCCCTTTTTTTTACATAAATAATGGTAAATAAGTACTTTTAGAACTGGTTGTCAACTTAGGTACCGAAAGGGGTTGTTATTGTGCACTGACGCATTGTAATTAAATCTTAAACAGATAATAATAATTAATTGTCTGTAATGCTCGTGACTAGTACATCAAATAACTATACAGTGATATTCATGTAGAAGTAGACATGGTGTTTTTGCTATAGGCATTTCCTATGTCACTTTTACATGATAAAAAGTCTCCTGAAAGACGCCTAATTTTATGCAACCAAAATAACTTCTTGAAACAAATAAAGATCTGGCTGTCATATTAACTATTAATTTGAATATTGTTGCTTTAGCTTCACAGAAAATAAATCTCTTAAGCTCCTTTACCTGTTATCGGCACTATACTATTTGGAAATATTAACTTTTTCTTTAGTTGAATACATCGCACACGAACCGAAGTTAGAATAGGGAAGTCAAAGCGACAATATTCAAATTAATTAATATGACAGGCAGATCCTCATTTGTTATAGGTAGTTACTTTGGTTGCATAAAATTAGGCGTCCTTCAGAAAACTTTTTATCATGTAAAAGTAGACATAGAAATCCCTTCTACAAGAATATAACGAATATAAAGATCTGTAAATATAAGTAATTTTTAGTAAATCCCGCTGAGTGGTTCAAGGTACTTCTCTTTTTCAAAATTCCAAACCGTGTCTCAGAAATTAATGCTCTAACATGATTGTTGCTGAATTCCATTTTCTTGAATATTGAAGACGATTCAATTACTGAAATACCGAATGAGTTTCTATATTGAAAATGTTTCTCCTGGGCCCAGAAGTGAACAAAAGATAGTTTTTATGAATGCGACCTTTCATGTAGCTTTACTTGTATAAAGCTCTGAATGCAACCAATTATACTTTGACATTGCAAACAAGCATCATAACCTGTTTTCTCACATCGTTTTGCGTATTTACCTTCGTAATTGAAATTAGTTACTAACATCTAAAATTAGGTGTAAAAATGGTAAAGCTAACAGCAGAACTAATACAGAGCTCAATGCAATATATAAATCCTGTAAAAGATCGTGAGCTGGATTTAAGAGGTATGTTCTGCTGTTTGAGGTTATGGTAGTTATCGTTATTTTTTCAGGCTACAAAATACCGGAAATTGAAAATTTGGGAGCTACAGGGGACCAATTTGACACTATCGATTTTTCAGAAAACGACATTAGGAAACTGGATGGCTTTCCGTACCTTAAACGAATGAAATGCTTGCTAATGAACAATAACCGCATTGTGTATGTACACTACTTGATTATGCTTTCGTAATTACAGCAGGTATTGTAGGCGAATCGGCACTCATTTAGAGGAACACATCCCCAACTTAGAAAGCCTAATCCTAACTGGAAATCACATTGAAGAATTGGCCGATTTAGATCCATTAGCCTCATTGGAGAATCTCAACTGCTTGAGTTTACTCCATAATCCCGTAACCGCGAAAACTCACTATAGGTTGTATCTAATCTACAAACTGCCACAATTACGCATCTTAGATTTTCGTAAAGTGAAGTTGAAGGAACGTGAGGAGGCAAAGTCGCTTTTCAAGAGTAGAAAAGGTAAAGAGCTACAGAGAGAAATCACAAACAGAGCGAAAACTTTCGTACCGGGGCAAAGCGTGGCAACACCATCTAAGCGTCTTTCTGATCATGAAGTGCGTAAAATACGGGAGGCTATTGTCAAAGCAAGTTCACTGGAGGAAGTCGAGCGACTCCAACATTTGTTGCAATTGGGGCAAATTCCTGGGCAGGAGTCACAAAACGGTGCATTCAATGGTTGTATTATTTATATTAGGCTGTGTTTAATTTGTTTAATTACAGGCGAAAATGGATTTGAGGCCATGGAAACCGAAGCAGGGCAGTAGGTATGACAATGAGGTATTATTCACTCTTTCAAATGCGTTTCTTTATAATGTAAGTTTAAGTTGATAAGTTCTTGTACTACATGAGTTCTAATAATTGTTTATTTTGCGCCACTTTGGTTGTGAAGCGATTCTAATAAAATTTAAATACAATTAACATTTAAAATTTGATGCAACCTAAAGTAACTCCTAGGGTGTACATTGTTTGAAGCAGAACTGGAAATTTCATTAAGCTGACAGTGTCGGGTCGATTTGCCGGTTCCAGTTGTAGCATTACCTCCACCAAATATTGTACTCCGGTCTCGTATAGAGATGAATTAATTAATTTTTTTCTTCCAGTTGAAATAGAGTATACTACATTGGCTACCTAAAGTGTATTATTTGTACAATAAAGTATTTGAAACTTGATTTTTTACTTACCGGTCCATCAAACATACGCTCTAAAGCACAAAGTTCGTACAGAATGCATCCAAGTGACCAAATGTCCGATTTTGTATTGTAAGGTTTACCGTGACACATTTCTGGAGCTAAATAATTTGCAGTTCCAATAAAAGTTTGGGTTTTTGTTTCGCTGGAAAGAGATTGTTAAATTATTTTGGGCTGCAACCATAGAGGCTTATAGTCCCCCATTTGCCATGCAAAATTAGACAACTAAAAACCTAGAATGAACCCTATTGTGAAAGAAATAAAATATAGAGGACCATGCTCGCGGGCTCGTAGCTCCACAGAAAGTATATTCAGAAGTCTCTATGCAGGAGCCACTGAAGGCAATAAATAAACATATAATTAATTTTTCGTTTTACTGTACACAATTTTTGAAGGGGGTATCACAAAACGTCAATTTTGTTTTTGCTTTTTGAGTGCACTCCTAAGACTTAACTTTTTCCACAAAACAGGTACAAACAAATAATCCAAGTCCAACTTTTTTTGTAACACCAGTCTATGGATAAAATGGGCAAAGAATTTGACCTTTCTTGTGTCAGGAGATGGTCAACATTATTGTCAGAGCAACCCACAAATTACTAAATCTAAGTAAGGTTTTTTGGTCATTAGATTTAATGCTTTTTAGCAACATATGTTGGGAGAATTTATTATACAAGATGATACAGGGATGTTTTAACCGCTGACTTTCACGAGATGGTTAGTTTATTGTCGTGTACCTATAATACAAAACTTTATTTTATAGCAGAAGCCTGCAGAGAAATCATTTCTGTATCTATTTAATTTAGACGTCCAAACAAGCGTAGGTTCTCCTGTCGTTTTCATAGTAAAAATAGTGTATTCGGTTCTGAACGTCATTTTATTTCGTGCTTCGCGTTCCATTTTGAATAAAACTGATAGATGTCATTGGAATGCAGAATGATTTGTTTCACTTTGTCTACTCCTGTCGTTAAAGTGATCAGGTTATCTACCCTTACCGTTAAAGAAACGCTTAGCCTACTCGTTAAAACCTAATAAAATGTCAATTTAACATCTGCTATAAAATAAAGAACTTTATTTGCCTTATCTTAATTGTGCTCTACCTTTTAATATGGATAATTTTTTCCTGTTACATATATTTTTGGTCTCATAATACGGGAGCGATATTTTTAGCGTCGATTTTTAAACGAGACGCGGTTATGCTTTCGCACGATCGCTCGCTCGATGGCTTCATGTCCATCGATTTAAAATAGAACCGGTGGATTGCGGTGAAATTTTGCAGGCGAATTCTTTATCAAATTTGTAGGTCGCAGTGGGCAATGTACGCCAAAAAATAAGGAATTGCATGAAGTTTTGTATGTAGGCACCTCGAATAAAAGTAAGACCAAAAATAGTAAGACTAATGCCGGATGAAAAACCTTGTTTCGATTTTTTTATTTGTTAACATATTTAAATGAAATATATAGACACTAATGGCGAATAAAAAATTGCGCAATCCGATTTTTTAAGGTGTTTAAATGAAATTTTGGGAATGCGCTTTTTGTAAATCGTGTACGATTACTTTTTTTAACTTGTCATCTCGACCATTACGAACTAAATTGCATGACATTAAGACTGGCCCTAGCTATAAATAGATTATGTCATCGATTTGGCACTTTTGATTACCTATCTATTCCTCAGGGTAGGTTAATTCGTACTTGTGCTCAATTGATGTCTTTATCCAAGAACACCTTATTCTGTCTGAAGATCTCTGTAATGAGAGAGGACGGCTTCCAGGTTTTTTATTTTTTCCTTACACGGCCACGGGGGCACTCGGGGAATCGAAATAGAAATAGAGTGGCTTTTGAGCCTATTAAATAATAACTCCATGACACCATCGGTAATGTAAAATACATAAAACTATTTTTCACGGCCCATAATTCCATAGTATGTTTATAGATGACATTAGTTATGTTCGTCTGTAAACCTTTATCTGGAAAATTGGACAAAATTCGTTTACATATACCTACATTATTTTCGTTTACTGCAAAAACCCAGTTTTCTACGTGGTCTCAGTACTGAGATCTCATACCCTTAGACGAACTGGGTGTACTTTTTCATAAGGAATGCGTAATAACTAATACGCAGCACACATCAAACCATATTTTGTGGAAAAATTATGAAATCTGTTCTGTCGATTTGCAAGAATCATCGACACAATTGTTGAAAAAGGTTGTTTTAGCGTTCACTAACTGTAAAAAAAATTGAGAACGCTCTAGGAGCCGCCCAGTGTGAAAATAAAGCATCGTTTATTTAATTAATCAATGGCTATTATATCTACGGTGATCGGGTTTGTCATATTGTTTTGTCATCAAAAGAAGTGACCAAATACGGATTTTCAAAAAGATCGGATGAATTATTAAAAACATATGTTAATTTTAGGGATTCTTTTTTTTATATTTTTCCGTAAAACACAATAATATTTGAATATATGAACGTTCATATCCATACTATAACTGAATGTATAGAAAATTCGATTCTAAACAAATTGATTTCTATTCGTTTTTTTCCCTCAGAGCAATAGTTAACGAGATAATTGAATTGAAATGCGAAAAAAACGACATTTTCTCGTTTTTTCTTTGTTTTTTGTTCATAACAATTTGTTCCGGGAGTTTCCGGTCAGGGGCACTATGATTTTCGGATTCAGCGGAGTTTTTGGCATAGAATACACTAGGTCTCGTTTAGTGAAGTGACAACATCCAATTTAGACTACTTTTGGAGCTAATTTGATTGGACTACTAGAATGGCCCAATGTAATCACGATGTTTTCGGAGCCTACTTATCCAAAGGCAGTACATTTTCAATACTGCCATTGGCTTGTAGGTATCGAATTTACCTCATACCTGTAGGTACTTCATTTTCATACCTACTATATACCTAGTACTTACCTATGTTTGGAAAATACACATTATATGAAAATACTTACTTTTGAAGAATTTTTGAAATTCCGAAATCACCAATTTTTACCACATCTGCTTGTAACCCAGTCAAAAATATATTTTCCGCTTTTAGGTCGCGATGAATTATATTTTTGGAGTGAATATGATGCAGGCCATTCAATATTTGGCAAAAGTAATTTAGTACGGTCTGTAACAAAGCTCATTAACCTACTTGAACACCAAAGCGTCTAAAATTACCTGCTGTGATAAAAGATTTGGTTTATTTCGTTTTATAAAATCGTATAAGCTACCTTTGGTCGCATACTCCATCACTATATAGAAGATATTGTCGGACACAAAGCTATCAAAATACAGCACAACATTGGGATGCTTCAGACATTTTAAAATTGCAACTTCGTTTTTGGCACTCGCCATTTGTTCGCCATTTAAGTCGTAGTTTACTTCTTTGACGACAACTTTGAGCTTGTTGTGTTTCCTTTCGCACAAATAGACGGTTCTAGAAAACAAAACGTGCATTGCGATTTTTCGGGAAATGTTTAAATTACCCAAATGTTCCTTTTCCAAGTTTTTGTAAAATATTAAATGAATGCATATCGAGTCTAAGTACTTACATGACATAAAATCTTTCGTAAAACTGGAATACAAGTTGAAGTGCAGACCCATAATCATGGTCTTATCAAAACACTGGTTATTTGATAAGTAAAAAGAGAAGGAAATTTGCATTTTACTTATATCTGTTTTACTTCTTCCCCAGGTTAGAGAGGTTAAAATTAACGATTGTGACCATGACTGTAGAGTGTGGCTGAATAAAAATGAGTACTCTAAGGGCGAAGAAAAACAATCTTGAAAAGTAAAAGTACAAATACACGTAATTCTTAAGTTCTGATTTAGAAATCCCTTTTGATGGTGGATGAGTGGTTCACAAAAATGACGGCATTCTTCATTTATCGACCGAATCTTTGAGTATAAACTTTTTATTGACCTATTACCGAATTCCATTGTGTATGTGTACTAAATTGATTAGGGGTAACACATCATACGTCCAATTCGTTCAGAATTTCGTACAAGTACATTTGAATACCTACTTTGTTTATATCAATGAAGGGCACAATAATTAGGAAAACGAACCTGCCAAAATTATAGTACTTGTTTTTAATATGACGTATCTCTATAATGGGTTCCTTGCGCGTGAAGAGTAACTTCGATTGCCATGCAATATGTGGTATAATTTTGGATGCAATAATTTGCTTCAATTGTTATAACCACATTTTGGAAACATTTCTCCAAATTATATAATTGATTGATATGGCGGGTTACTCTAGAACAACTCTCTGCGAAACCACCTCATGGCATTTGGTTCAAATTTGTTAAGAAAGGAAAGTGTTTTTTCATCTGGTGTATGTACAAATAAAGGCGACCACATTTGCCCCTTCTAAGTTTTCATATGCAGTAGATATATAAACCCTCCCCTGTCTCCTCCTGTCAATTGCTCACTACTTTCTTCTCCCCTCTTGTTCTCTCTCCTATTCCTCAAACTTTTCTTGGTTTCCTATTCCTTTCTCTACTTTCCACCTTGCTGTACCCTCTTCTGTTTGTCCTATTCTATATCTTCTTTCGAACCTTCCTTTGCCCTTTTCTATCCTCTGCTACTTGCCCATATATTGCTCCCTTGCCAGTTACTGTTTTCCGTTGCCTTTCCCTGTCTTTTGCTCCCTCATACTTGCTCTGTGTGGTTATAAATCAGTGTTATTGTAGTATGAAGTTATAGTCGAACCTGGGGGTTAGTAAGGTACAGTAACTACGCCGTCTGCAAACGTCTTCATAGAGTAGTTTTCAAATTTCTAATCATCACAAAGAGATTGATTTTTTGTGAAGGTGTGGAGTGACCAGCCAATAATACTATCCTATATAATGGCCCGTATGAATAAAAGTAAGCAAATGCTTATACTTGCAAAATTCAAAGTAAATACTCGTAACTGCCCCTTCATACTGGTCTGTTTAGCATGGTTTAGTAGCGCTGCACTGCGTCCTGTCCTTCTGCTTAGAAGCGCTGCTAAGTCGCCCAGTGCGAAGGAGCAGTTACGAGTATTTACTTTGAATTTTGCAAGTATAAGCATTTGCGTACTTTTATTCATACGGGCCAATGTGTTTTACGTGCCGGAAACAGCCCAGTCAGGATTACTAATTGTGCGCTGTATTGGCAATATTAAACGGCCGTGCGTTTTGATGGATGGTCTTTGTACGAATTTGATTGGGGTAGGTAATGGAACGTTCTATTATTTAAACTAGTTTGAACATTACAATTTATCGTTGAATACACGTCGCTTGCATACAATTTCAATACCATGTGTGGAACAATTATATGTCAATGGATGTTTAAACTTAACGTCACGGATTTAATTCGGGTTAAACTAAACTTTGCTTAGTGGATAGATGTAAAAGCATTTTCCTTTATCTTTGCAGCTCTGGAAGATTTTCAGTGTTTTCCCAGTACATTTTCTAAGATTGTCGCTAAAAATTGAGTTTCATACACCTGTTCCAGTAATCTTTCTGTTCACCGGCATACAGTCTACAATTTATTTCAAGAGCCTCACATATACGCAAAAGCTTGCCTGTATCTTTTCTTACTTAAACTTCTGAAAAAAAAATCTAGCCGCTCTTATAACCGTTTTTTTTATATTTTGATGCATTTGATTCCATTAGCTACATGAACAGCCCTAGGCACTAGGTACAACTATACAATATACCTAACGTATGATGCGACAATCACACTCGTTTTCATTTCTTCTAACCACCTACTATCTATATATAATTTGATTTAAATTATAAATTTAAACACAATAAGGATAATTGCCAATATAGTGTCCTAACAACTTCCAGAGTTTAGTGTTAGATGGGTAGGTTTCGCTTGTAATTGTACATCATTCGTGCACATACTCCAACTGCAACATAATTTTTAACAAACATCCATAATTTGGTTATCGCACTACCTATTGCCGTTTGTATCCCTCAGTGTCACTTTGTACGCTAACATTGGTTGTTTTGGGGCATCTGTTCCGTTTTGCTTTTCATTCGGATTTTGATAATACGCAATAGATCCCTTCACTTTTTGATCGTGATTCATGGCCACCGGTTCCATCACGGATAATCCATAGAGTGTGCTAGGCCCGTTTCCCCTACAAATCTTTCATGTACTTAGTACGTGACAATTAGTAGACAAGAAAAATACATAGGGATTTTAAAATTGATACTGCTATTTCCTTGGCGCAAATTGCAGTGCACCATCCCATTTAAACTCTGGGTAGCATTCGTCAGGAAAATACCCACTTGCATCTGGGTTCCTAAAATGAATAGGTGTACTTAGTTTAGTATTTTGCAGCAATTCAGAATATGCACCTACCGCAGAATGGATATTTATTTTTCGTAGCTAAATACATAATTCCATCTCCTTGTACATACTCCCCCATTTTTCCTATATCGTTATTACTCCCAAACCCGCCGTTGTCCATTGACGGAAAGCACTCCCCTTGACGATATTCCTCCAGTCCTCCTCTACATTTATAAGCCACAAACGAACAAGATGGCGCTTGTTTCAGTTGTATTTCCAAACTTTCCCTAAACAACTCCCAGGCGCGTACGTGACTGCAAGCAGTCTCCCTTGTTAGCGTTTTTTCTAAAGTTAGAACGTCAATGATTTGCTCAAAAATTGTGTATATACCTAAATGTGTTACGACTACGGAAGCCGTCCTATCGGAACAACCGGGTTGTTCAAATCCGCCGTTGGGGAAAAAATCTACGTGGCCAATAGGCTCTAAGAGACCGAATCCGTCTGTAAAGAACTGTTGGAAAATACATATGAAGCTTATATTAAGCCAACCACTCATTTCAACTACCTACCCTACTACAATTAATGCGGGTAGAGGATACTGTAGTTTTGAAAAACTAATAGGTTTTCGCCCGAAATGTTTCCTCGCGGAGGATATGCCTCTGGTAGGTTTACCCCCGGAAAATCCTTCCTGATCTCGTATTGGTCATTTTTTAGACGCACATGTCCTATCTCGTAAGTCTCGAAATTTTTGACTTTGTTTGAGTGGACCCCCGAGAAAAAAATTTCACCGCCGTAATACCGGGGGCACCATGAACTTATAATAGCATAACTCCAATATATTGCCCTTGGAGTAACTGCTATATGTACCTACTAAATTCTAGCGAGCTGCTTTCTATTTCTGTAACAAAATTCGCTCCTGTAAGAAAACCTCAAAACACGCATTTGCCACCGGATTATCATTCGAAATCGAATTTTCCGGGGGCACAAACACCAGGGCTTATTTTGTTACAGAAAGAAAAGGGATCTGTTGGGATCGAGCTTTTCTAACTCGGAATTTTCGTTTCCTAGTCAATTTTCCTTCAGGGTGCATATGTTGTGAGCGAATTTTTTGGGACAGAGGCACGGCGAATTTTTGGTGGGTAAATCTTCCGGAGCCATCTTTGCTGGAGACACAAGCGAGTTTTTCTCGGAGTTTTTATAGAGGCAAAATTGGCAGGGTGTGTAATTGTCACACAAATAGACAAAATTTTTAAATCTTAGATCAAATGTTTCCAAGGGCAAGTTTTCTAAAGTTCAGCCTCAAGTTCTGGCTAGCAAGTACATAAAGGCGAATTTGTTTAACCTCAAATTTGGAAATATCGAGATTTCCCGACTAGCGAGTATAACGGCGGAGTCGAATCTTTCGTGGGAAAGTATTACGGGAACGAGTATTTAGGCACTAATTTTGTCATAAAAATTGCAGATTTACCTTAAAAGTACCTACATTGTACATAACAGTTGTGTCAAGAGTCAATTTTTTCAGCTCAATTTTTGGGGATCGAGTACCTATTCCTGCAAGTGATTTTTTTCTTGACACAAGTTTCTTACGAACGGGTATTCTGCCGGACCCAAATTTTTCTCCTGGGCGAAAATACTGGGGCGGAGGAGTAAAATAGCGAATCTCTTTCTTGTAGCACGTTCCTAGAGAGACGAATTTTCTTTGAGCGAGAGCAAACATTCAGGAGCGAATGTTTTCGCAGAACTATAGAGAGGAACGTTAAAATCGAGTACATAACAGTTACAAGGACAAGCAACCCTTTCTGAAAGTAAATTTTCCTTATAGCGAGTTCCTTATCGACAAGAAGGGAATTTTCTCCTTATGGAGGGGAGTAGGTATACTGTTCACGACAAGTAACGAATTTTTCGGCGAGAATTGGGCCAAATTTACATGATTTACGTGATGCATGATCTTACAATCCACTGGATTAAATCTTCTCAGAGCATATGAACGGTGATTATCCATAAAAAAGTGATAGCTCTTACCGGACTCGAATCTGTATGTACTGCGTCAACCAAGAGGGCATCACTTCTATCCAACTTTTTCGATTTGGCCCTAACGTGATTATTGCGAAATAGTGGACTGGCGGCGTCTAATCCTAAAAAAAATGCTGCATTCGTGATTCTAAAAGGTTGAATAAGGTCACCTGTAATTCTTCCAATCATCAGACCGTTACTTTTTAACACTTCTGATGCGCAACCCGCTACATGGGCCCCTAGAGAAAATCCAACAATATGGATATAGTGAGGGTCTAATCCTTGATTAATCATATGCAGTAATAATATTCCCAACTGACGGCCCACTATTTCCGTATTGGCAGCGGCATTTCCATAGTTCGGTCCACGCGCTCCTCTTTCCCAATCCAGTAAAATGACATTGCATTTACACTACAACCCCTGCTAGTTCAATCAAGCTTACTTTGCGTGACTTACCAGTTGCGTGTACAGTTTCGCCCCGGCCAGCCCCCCGCCATCCCTCCAGCTGCCCAAATACCCATGAACGATTACCTTCACGTGCTCGCTGGCATTGAACTTGGACTGATTGAGCGTTCGACCATTATCCTCGTAGTAGAGTCTTTGTGGAGTGGAAAACTTTAAATCGTTGCGAAAGAGGAAGAATTTGGTATTGATAACGGCTGGACTTTCAGGTCCCTTGTGCAAGGGAGAGAATTTACGCGGCAAATCGAAACACCCTACAATGTCTAGGAGCCGCACTCAGGATTAAATTCGAAATCGCGCACTTACCGTAGCAAATCTGATCCGCCCTTCGAATTTGCTGCACTGAGATCCTTTTTGATTTAAGGCCGTCATTCTTGTTCACTCGTCTACAACTTACATCTTGTCCTACCGAAATGAAGTAGACACACACTAGCTTGTAGATCAACATTTTACAATTATTCTTACTGGAACCCGTCTGCATTATACAGGTATGAATTATCTAATGTGGTCATAGTGGTGGTAATCAATGGTGTCCATCTGCAATTTGCCACTTTCTCTTTTTTTAATGAATGAAATTTAATTTTTTTACACTTCCAGAAGGACATTACCCAATTTCCTTTTTTGGAGTGTTACATTTACGTTTTTTAATGTTTCACGACAAAAGCAGGGAACCGAACACATTGACCTCTTGCATAATTCCGCTTTCTATAGCTGATATTCGTCGATGGGGAAATATTAATCAACTTAATGGTAGGTTAGACGCAAATATTTGCAAAATTTGCGTTTCAACACGCACGCCAAATGTTACACGGATTCTTATTAACTAAATATTAAGTTTAAGGCTACGCACATTATGTAATGTTAAACAAAAGGCAATTGGCATCAAGGTATAAAAATTTATTATAGAAATTAGTATTTAACATTATTCTGACTCTGCTACCAAAGCATAGGTTGACCATCCCACTGGTAAAATCCTCCACTATGCTCCTGCTTTAACGTCGACACAAACTTGACAATGCTCGAGGTGCTGTCATCTATTTCCATGGGTGCATTTTGGCCGCCTAAATCAGTCTTTACCCAACCGGGGTGTATCGAAGTAACGATAATTCCATCATCTTTCAAGTCTACACTCATCGACTTCGTAGCCATATTCAAAGCAACCTAAGAAAACACAGGTTGAAATAAATTCGCTATTGGAATGACCAAACCTTGGAACACCTGTACGGATAGAAGCCACCCGTTGTGTTTAAGTCGAAAGATCCCAGCATTGAGGACATATTAATAATTGCAGCTTTTTCGATTCCATTCGGTTTGCACGCATTTATTTTAGCGGCCTTCCTTAGCAGCGGGTATAGAGCCTGAAATTGTTGAAAACGTGCCTCATTGTCTAGCCAGAGTAAACCGCCTCACCTTCGTTAGCAGAATGGGCACCATGGTATTAGTGACATAGGTTTCCATGAGTTGTTCGGGTTTCACCAAGTTTAGACGTGTAAACTTGGGGGACATACCTGCATTATTAAATAGGACATTTAAACCTTCGTCTTTTACTAAATTTGAAACTCTCTCCGAAAATTCCTTGTATTTGTCAAAGTCTCTAAGGTCTGCAAAAGAAAATGGTGTAAGCATTTCCAAATTCTGAACCGAACTGTTCAATTTACTACCACTAATTCTCCGAGTTTTGACATTTTTGGTCCATAGGTTGAAACTTGAGTTATCTAATATTATTCAAAAAAACTCTACGAACTTTTCATCAAATTATGTGGGGATAGCATTATTACACCTATCTCATCATACAATCTCAGATCGTATCTCTACAGATAATTTGAAACAAGTATCTAATTAGGATAGAGGTAATTTAAAACACCTCTTTAATAATGTAAGTATTAGTCAAATTGATATACTCACCTATTTCCAATACATGGACATTTTGATGACATTCGGCGATTTTACGAAGCTCCTAAAAAGAGATACTGTTTATTAATAGGTACCGATCTAAAATGGGTGAAGTGTGTGTAAGGCAATTAGCCAGAATTTGCTAGCACTTTAATAAAGTAGGCGAAATGTAAATATTATCTTCAGCCCAAGTACCTAACTTAGAAGTGGCCGAATTATTGTTTGTACAATTCGAAGTGCAATTAAAAAAAAGAGTAGAGCCATCGCATTCGGGCTAGTTTTTAAAGCGTAGATACCTATTTTACGTATGTAACCTTCACTAAGCATAACAAATTTAAGGGGGCTTTTACTATGATTAAGAACTGCCTATCCATATTTATTAATTTTGGTGAGAGCATGCCCCCATACTCTATTAAATTCTCATTTTTTAAATAGATCGAAGTCTGAACTTTGGCTTCCGAAAGTTTAACTAAAAATTACCTCGAAAATTACTATAGCTAAATGAAAACCCGGTTTTTCTATAGTTTTGAATCAAAAAATTAGTGACGGTTGTTAAAATCTTTTTGAGTAATAATTACTAAAACTGTAAGCTGTTGATTGCAAAAAAAAACGACGTGAATATCCAAAAATTTAGCAGTTGTTCCACTCTCAGACGAAACGAACAGACAATAAAAGCAAACGAGCTCCTGGATATAGCTATAGCATGTGCAAAAGTGCAAAACCAAATGTTAAACCTGAAAATGAATGAATTAACTTATTCTTATTAGTGTTATTGGGTAGATTGGATCAATTAAAATCGTGCGATCTTGGAGTGGCACTTTTCCTTCAAATTTTCCTTAGTTATCAACATTCCTTCGCGGTCATTCCCTCACGTTTATGCCTCCTTCCCTTTTCAGTTTCTATCTGTCTCATTCAAATTTCTTTCACGATGTATTTGTATACTTGTTTCACTCTGTTTCGTTATGTTCGTTATTATATTTATTATTTCACTTTCAGATCTTCTTTTACACCGCCCTTATACATATTTATAAAAAACTATTCTTTTATAATAAGCGCTTGGGTACCTATATTTGAAACATTTAGCTCATTTCTTTGAAGTTGTTCTTGTATTTATAATGAATTGTTTTGTTTTGTACAATAAAGTGCGCTTTTCCTAATTTTATTTTATTATAAAAAATCCACTCCACCTTTTCACTTTTGCACCAAAACCAGAGCTGAGCAGTATTGGATTTTATAAATACTGTTTAGTATTCAAATCCTTTAAAGTATTCAAATACTTTGTAATTAAATACGTTTATGGAAGCAGTATTTGTTTTTGTAACTCAAATACTTTCACAAATATTTAGTATTCGAATACTTCGCAAGGTATTTGAATACTTTGAGAAGTATTCGAATACTTCGCATAGTATTTGAATAGGTACTTAACCTTTCGAAAGAAAATTCAAAGGGCTGTAACTTTTGAACTAGTAGCCCAATCTTGGAACTGTTTAAATTATGGATTCTACAGGTCATATTCCATAAGAAAATGTTTTTTCCGGGTCGATCTGAGACAATTTTTTTTCGGGCCTCAAAAAAAGGCAGTGTACAACCTTCCTTTTTTACCAAAAATCGACTGCACCAAAATTTCTCGGGAAAACACTTTTTCTTATTAATTTTGGTGCGTAGAATCCAAACCAATTCGTACTTTTTCGATCAGACTTCTCAATCAAAAGTTATAGACTAGAAACCAATTTCGAAAAAAAATTCAAAGGGCTGTAAATTTTGAACTAGTAGCCCAATCTTGGAACTGTTTGAAATTATGGATTCTACAGGCCAGATTCTATAAGAACATTTTTTCCGGGTCGATCTGAGACAATTTTTTTTTGGGGCTCAAAAAAAGGCAGTGTATAACCTTCCTTTTTTACCAAAAATCGACTGCACCAAAATTTCTCGGGAAAACATTTTTTCTTATTAATTTTGGTGCGTAGAATCCAAAACAATTCGTACTTTTTCGATCGGACTTCTCAATCAAAAGTTATGGACTAGAATCCAATTTCGAAAGAAAATTCTCAAAGGGCTGTAACTTTTGAACTAGTCGCCCAATCTTGGAACTGTTTGAAATTATGGATTCTACAGGCCACATTCTATAAGAAAATTTTTTTCCGGGTCGATCTGAGACAATTTTTTTTTCGAGCCTCAAAAAAAGGCAGTGTATAACCTTCCTTTTTTACCAAAAATCGACTACACCAAAATTTCTCGGGAAAACACTTTCTTTTTTAATTTTGGTGCGTAGAGTCCAAAACAATTCGTACTTTTTCGATCAGACTTCTCAATCAAAAGTTATAGACTAGAAACCAATTTCGAAAGAAAATTCAAAGGGGTGTAACTTTTGAACTAGTAGCCCAATCTTGGAACTGTTTGAAATTATGGATTCTACAGGCCACATTCTATAAGAAAATGTTTTTTCCCGGTCGATCTGAGACAATTTTTTTTGCGGGCCTCAAAGAAAGGCAGTGTATAACATTCGTTTTTTACAAAAAATCGACTACACCAAAATTTCTCGGGAAAACACTTTCTTATCTATCTATTATCTTTCTTTATCTAGTATACTATCTTAAATTTTTAATGTATTTGAGTGACAAGTATTTGAATACTTTTTACTGTATTCGAATACTTTTGAAAGTATTCGAATACTTTTGAAAGTATTCGAATACTTATTTTTTTAAGTATTTGAATACTTTTCAATGTATCTGTATCTAGTAGGTATTCGCTTGTGCTGGACGTAAAGATATTTAGTATTCAAATACCTTTGATTTGTGTAAAGTATTTACTATTTAGTATTCAAATACTTTTTGAAAGTATTCTGCCCAGCTCTGACCAAAACGAAGTAAGATTGTGACACAAAATATTATGAAACCATATATTTTTATAACTTATTTAGTTCCACGCCATATCAAACGAAATGATATATTTACCATGTACCTAATATCAACAATTGCAAAATGTTTTATTGCTAATGGTAGTACATCGTTATGGTACATCAGAATTTATTTATTTATTCATTTATTTCTCTTGTTCTGGGCCGTCAACAGACTTGCGCCCAATTACAGAGTGACCCGCACGCATAATGCTTTTTAGAGGTGGCAAAGATTATCAGCTTTAACAAAAAAATAAATACCAAAAACTGTAACTGACAGGATAAATTTGCTTACACTGTATTATTAAATACATCCTTGCCCTAGTCCTTGCATATAACGTTTGACAAAACGCACTTTAAACTCGGTTCGTAAAACTACATTTCGTTCCCCACCTAGTCGTCTCTTTTTCTCCACTAGTTTCAGGGAACCCCCATGTTTTTAACATCCGAAAAAACTCAACCTTTGGATATTGAAGCGAATATTCCAGAAATCCAAATAGTGTCAAAAAATTTTTTGAATTTTCAAAATCTTATTTGGTTTTCTGTACAGATTTATAATAATTTATATGCAATTATTGGTGAAAACTATCCTCGTTTGTCTTATGGATGTAGAGAAAAAGAAATCCAAAGTTCGAAATTTTTGGGGATGTTCGGGGATGTTGTTGTTCCCAAACTAAACATGATCATCGGTGAAGACCAAGATTCGTAATCTGGTCACCTTCACCTTTTTTACACACCTGTTACACTCTGTATAAGTACAACAAATCATGTACACGTTTCCTCTGCAGGCAAGGTGGAGGGGACCATTTCATTAGGGGATTAGAACACAAATCAATACAAACCAAGCACAATATTATTGTAATTTGAGAAAAGTGGGGCCATACCGGGTTCCAAACAACAAAATATTTAAAAGTATTGATGTCCTTTTATAGTGTGATAAAACTGTGTAATTATTATGAAGCTGCAATAATTTTTGTTGTGTAAAAGTAATTATTTAATATAAGTAATTACTTCAGGAACGAGTAATAGTTAGTTGCAGAGTATTGAAATATCTTGAAACAAATGTTAAACGAATTTACTTATGAATATTTATTTAAAGAATAATAAACAATAACACAAAAATTAACAAAAGATTAGCATTTCCTTATGTAATTCGCATAATAAATTTATAAGCGAATCTGAGAGTCCCCGATCCAAATTATCAAGCATATTTTGCCAATGCCATCTGCTGCTGAATAAAAACAATCGTGACTGTGCACTATTACGACTAAAAAATATAATTAAGTAAGTATGTGGCGTGATTCATACAGAAAATAATAATAATTAAGAAACTTTTTATTGTCAAATTTAAATGACCTACCCTGTACCCAATGCGTCCGATTTGTTCAATTCGTTTCTACAAAATGTACAATAAACTATCATCCAAAATAAATAATTCTGCAACATAAAATCGTCCCTTGGTACATAGTACAGATTTGAACAAACTAAAACAAAAATGAGAAATTGTTTCATGAATACCTAATTTTTTTTCACTATGCAATAGTGTAAAAACTCGAAATAAATTCCCATGGGATCTACCTACTACAGAGTAAGTGATTAAAAAGAAATTACCAACTCACAAATGTATGACGCTTGTTAATTATTCATGTAATTCCATTTGTATACAATTAAAATATTGATCTACAGGATGAATGCAGTCAGTTATGAAAAACCTTGAAATAAGGAAAATAAATAACTAATCTATTAATAATCATCTATATTTAGGAATTATTATCCATTGCTACCTACTAACCGCTAAGTAAAAGAAGAAAATTGATTTTACTTGAGAACATTTATTGCTAAATTAACTAATTAGTTTACCGGCTTGAGAAACGCTCAGTCACTTATCAGTTGTAGAACACATTTTCACTATTATTATTCATTTCCACCTTTATCATGAAGCGTGACTTTTTCTCCACGTCCCTAATGGGAAAACCGCATTTACCTACTTTTTTTTGAGAAAACATTGCAAAAATTTGATAGTCGGAATGTAAAGCGCTGAGTAATAATTATGCTAAATTACAAACATGCGAGCACTCTAATCGCATTTATATTTCATGAAGTAAATAATCGATCCCCTGGATACCTGCAAGTTACTTGTTAATTTGTCCCTATATAGAGGGCATATTCATAATCAAGACCTTCATAATCTTTCCAATTGTAGTGCGGTTCGGGTGCGTTTCTAGATAAAACCTTGTTCTAGAATTCGCATTTATCTTGTTTACACCATGTCCTTTGATTGTGACGGTAAGATATTTTAAAATGTTCTATAGCATTGATTTATTGGCACCAAAAGTCCAAGCGCCATCTCAGTAATATTGTGAGAAACTTTATGAATAATTTTGAGGTAGCCCAAATTTTTGGCATATTATCAATTCACAGATCAAACTAATTTACACGTTTATCGCTAGGAAGTCGAAAGAGCTTCTTATCTTACTGAAAATTTACAGCTGATGTATCAGGGGTTTACAGATCTTTTGCGGAAGTTACCAATCTTTCTGGGAATTTATAGGTCTATATTTCAGATTTCGCTGAGAGAGTAAGATCTAAAGATCTAGAAAAGTGCTGAACAAAAACTAGAAAGAATTCAAGGCCTTCCTTCCAAGGCCCTTCCTCGTTTTTCAGAACTTCTTAAATCCTTTGTAGAGACTCCTTAGATTTAGACAGCAGCTGACCAGAAAGCGCCCATTGAATTAAAGTGCATAGAAGTTGTGATATGGTGCAAAAAAAATCTAATAGGAATGGACTAAATATCACGAGAAAAACCCCTTCTCAAACTTTAATGTTCTTCCCCTCTTATATGGCTAAAGCTACGCTCAAAAGAGCCTTCCTACTTTTTTGGCCTACATTGCCAATTCACGAACTCCGATCTACAAATTTGATAATGAATCCACATTTTAAAATTTCATCATAATCGGTCCATTCGTTTTTAAGATATGCTAACGGACGGACGGACAGACACCGAAAAATTATAAACTCGCTAGGAGCTCGTTAATAAGGAAACTATGAGGAGCGCAAACTTTACGTGGACTGTCGTTGGGCTTGGGACATTATCAATATTTGACCTGATTTAAATGTCAATTATCATTAACCACTTACTACTATCTTAAATAAGTGATCGTATATCGAAGTCAGATAATTTATAATTACATATAAAAATTATATTGTAGTGCCTAGAGGTCAGATTATTATTACTCAGACTCAGAAGTGACACCCACTTCACTACTAACAGCAAAAATGTCAAAGAAAACAGCTGTGCTATCAGCTGGCCAATGAGAAGTCAGCTGTTTTGTTTCCTCCCTTAGGTCTCTCAAAGGCAATGCAATGTGTCGTGTCCGAGGTTATCGAGTTTATGTTTAATATTCGATCACTCCCCGTATAATAATCGGTTTATCTGCGCAGATAGTCGCCCAATTCGTGAAACAGAAACGTTCATCCATAGCCAAACCACACAGCAAAGCACATTAATAACCTCCACTTTACCACTTCTGCTGGTTTTATTTAGTTATAAAACAGTTCCCTTACGTAAACGTTCGTTCATTTGTTTTATGTATTTTAGTGTTTATCGTTCAAAAATGGCTCCCTTAGGTAAGAAGCATGCTCAAAAACAGTATTTACTTACCTCCGCTTTTTGAATATCCCTGCAAGTCGCAATTAAACATCCGGGCGGATGCGAGATTTTCAAAAATTGGCGAACTAAACCTAGACCCAAACCGCGATTGCAACCGGTTATTAAAATTGATTTCATATTCGCACTTCTTACGATTTTGTACCGTTTTGAGACTTTTTTTTATTTTTCTTAACAATTTACAGACAATTTCCAGACTTGATTACATCAAGGTCAACGTCATATACTTTAAATGGCGCTGCTTGGACGTACTTTAAAACATTTCCACTTAACGAGTATTGTTAAGCATCAAATTATTGTTGTACAAAATGTGAACGTAAGATTTTACAGTAAAAAACGTAAGTAATCAAGCGACTGGCCTTCAAACTGGCCCCTTTCAATTCATCAAATCATTGTCACTGTGTCATGCTTCCTGGAAATAGTAAAAAATTCTTTGACAATCGATTCTAACCTCAATCTTTGTGTCCCCAGGTGAAAATCGGTACGAGTATGACTTGGTAGTGCTCGGCGGAGGTTCCGGTGGACTTGCTGCGGCGAAAGAGGCCAGCGCCCTCGGTGCAAAGGTTGCGGTTTTGGATTATGTTACCCCCACACCGATTGGAACGAAATGGGGGTTGGGCGGCACCTGTGTCAATGTTGGATGTATTCCGAAGAAACTAATGCATCAAGCTGCACTTTTAGGGGAGTCGCTAAAGGTAAATATGTTCGCTTTGCCAATTTAGTGGTTCGTTCGATAGTAGTAGGTAATACAGATAATGCGCAAGGAATAATGCTAGAAATACCATGACTAATAAGTACTGCTTGGTAGGACATTGTCCTAAGCCAGGTCAAGACTAATCAAGAAAAAAAATATGTTTTCAATTGTTAAACAAAAAACCTGTCTAAAAAAGCTTCTATTGGTCTTTTGCCTGAATGATAAATATACATATACATTTTTAAGTAGGTACATGGGATATGTATGGAAGAGTAGAAGGACTAATAATACATGTCAGTTAAATTTAAAGATTCTCGTTCTAAACTATGGTGCAGAAATGATTATTGAAATCTGCAGAAGCTATGAGGGTATAGCTGCCTTCAATATTCAAAAAAGATATGGAAAACGGTATACCTAATGACTATAAAATATGGTGCAGGAACCAGAATGTATAATAATTAAGTTGCGTTTTCATTATACGAGGGCTATTTTTTTTTTCAAGTTCCGATCGATCAGTACGTAAAATTAGGAAGGAGTATTCGAATGAGCGTTTGGTTTTTGAGAATAGTAGGCTTTCCCCACCACTAGCAGTTTTAGCTAGGCTGACCGATCAGTTTTCTCCACGACAGTGAAGGGTAAACATGTCATCCACAATCGACTCTGCCGCCAAGTGCGAACTCCGCTCTGTAATTTCTCTGTGCTGAGGGGCATAACGCTGCGGAAATCCACCGGAGAATGAGCAAAGTGTATGGTGACAACTTCATGAGCGACAGTATGGTCCGGAAATGGTGCCGGGAGTTCAAAGAAGGACGAACTGACGTGCATAATGAAGGCGGCCAGGGAAGAAAGTCTGTGGCGACCGACGATTCTGTGCATGCAGTGGATGAATTTTCATCTCTTTCCTAAATTGAAACAAGCTCTAGGAGGAACACGTTTCAGAACAGGAGAGGAGCTCCAAGACATGGTCAGAACATGGTTGGACGAGCAGGCGGCGGACTTATACGAGGAAGGTATTATCAAGCTAGTGCCCCGCTATGAGAAATGCTTAAATCGCCTTGGCGATTACGTAGAAAAGTAGAGTAAGGTTGTAGCTGCGTATGTAAATAAATATTTGTATATACTTACCTTTGTTTTTATTTGACAGCCAATCGGAACTTGAAAAAAAAATAGCCCTCGTACATTGCCGTTTACTCCCTCTACATGTTGATTTAGTCCACGGTGTACAACAAATTTTAGTATAGTCCTACGGTGGGGTAGACCAGAGAGAATTAATTGAAAATTGGTATGTACATAAGATCCCAAACACAATGTACATACTTCAGACAGTGGAAAAAGCCTCCCAAAGTCTCAATAAAGTTTTGTAATGTACATTTGACATAACATTTTTTTTTTTTTAAATTTAAAATTTTTTTTTAAATACTAAATATTTCACCTTTCTATATATCTTTCAAAAAATTCCATATACCAAATCTTTTTAAGATCAGAATTTTGGACACTACTGTTTGGGGGTGCGTCATCTACCTCTGTAAAAAATCATAAATCTATGAAAAAAATAATACTCATTCTTGTATCAATTAGATGCAAATGAAACATCTTGAACCCTTTGTGTATTAAAAAAAACCTTTTTGGTTCCCTACTGTCCCCCTCTACTAAATAAATTGGTCCCATGTTTTTGGAAAATGTACTTAGTTTGCATAGATAAATTGAGGATATGAAAGAAAACATCAAGCGGTAAACCCTTACGCAAAATCATGTATAAGGTGGTTCAAATTGAACACTTTCTTATGGAAACGCCTTTATTTTAAGGGAGAGAAAAAATTGAACTAGGTGTCTGGAGCTCAATTCTGAAGTGGAAAGCATTGGCGCAAACTTTGATTTATGGCCGTTTGGCCTCTAGGGGGCGTTTCTCGAATTTTGTCAATTTATTTAATGCCCCTAACTGTCTGTGTGGCGCAGTGGCATGGAATCGCGACTGTGGGTCTCTGGTTCGGTCATGGATAATTGGAAATGGTTGGGTTGGTAGATCCAGTGCCGGATTTAGGGTTTCTGCCGCTGTGGGCAAACATTTTTTGCCGCCTTTGACATATCACTATATCACCATTATTACAAGGTGGGAAAAGTAAGGCATTCATTGACTATATTTGCAATGCAATGAATGTACTAACAGATTTTATTTTTGCTTCATTTCATTTACCGATTCACCGTTTACCTAAAAAATTTGAACGCATTTTAATTTTTCTGTTTTCCTCCAAATTTGCCGCCCTTACAATTTTGCCGCTGTGGGCAATTGCCCACGTTTGCCCCTTATATAAATACGGCACTGTGTAGATCAGTCTTGGCTGAAATCCCGCCCACTTAAAAATAAAATTCAAAAATAAATAAATAAACTTTCTTACCATTCAAGATAATTGATTTTGTCAAAATCGTTCTTGGAGCACTTTTTTATGTAGGATCCATTGCGATACACAGTTCTTAGACAGGGTGTTTCGTTTTTCTTATACAACCCTACATTACATTTTTCATAGGGACCACCCTATATATTTTGGAGCTTCTGTAAAGAAGGACAATTCTGCCATCTTTTGTTCGCCATGGAAACCTAGATGCCTTAAATAAAAACATTTTAATGTATAAAATGCAATACTAAAAATAACGTTACGGAAATTGACTAAATTCGAAAACGCCCCCTAGCGGCCAACGATTAGTGATAGCTGAATTCTGTTTGCGCCAGTGGTTTTCTCTTTAAAATTGGGCTCCAGACACCTGGGTTCATTTTTCCCTATCTCTTAAAATAAAGGGTGTTTCCATAAGAAAGTGTCCAATTTAGGCCACCCTGTACACACCTACAGACGGAAAAAGTATTATTCTGTAAAAGATTCGAAAAAATGGTCAAATATACCTTTGTTTATTATTTATTTATTTTTGCCTTTATGTACTGCCTTTTTTTGAGATATTTGAAAAGAGCAATCAATTTACTGTACAATAACATAGAATTAGTACAGTCAAATTAGACCAAAAAATGGGCATTCCGGGCATCAGGTATGTCATCTCTAATGTTTCTTTTAAATTGTTAGGATCAATATGGATGTGAAAAATCCAAGTTTTCGACATTGAAAGACCTGTGCAAGCGACACAGCACTTGAAAATATGTCATTTTTCTTACCATTTTTTGGTTTTTGAAGTTTACTCCTGAAGAACCGATTTTAATGCAATGATTGTCGTATACTTTTTTGAACTAGACAAAATTTCTGACAATTTAAGCCCTTAACGATCTCCTCAAGTTGAATAGTTTCCGAGATACGGTGCTTCAACTATTGGTAAATTTATTAGTGTCACAAGTTTTATCAAAATTTGCGTTTTTTCTTCGCAGAAAGTAAACTTACAAAATATGCACGATGAATTGTCGTAAGTCGTGAGTCGCAATAAACTTGTTGTTGAAGAAGTGGTAAAAATTGCGGATAATGAAAGCAAATTCAATATTTTTGTCTTTTAGTGGAAAAATATCCATATCAATATTTAGATGAAATCTAGCATGCCGTGCTGTCGGCATCCGGGGTGTCCTTTATGTTCCACCGGGAGATCGTATCGCGCAAACGTAAATCTTTAAAACGAAACATTGAATAAGTTGGTGTAGGTAGAAGAACATTTGCCTTTAAATGACGGCTGTATACCATGTGATTAGTCAGGCAAATAAATAGTGATATGTCGATTAACTCCAGTGTTTGTACTATGGCAGTGGCGACAATAGGAGCCCAGCCGCCATGTTGCATCAAAAATACCAATACAATTGTAATGTACATGTAGCAGAAACTCGATGCCACATGGCCGCCGGTTTCAACAACCAATCAAAAATTGGATATGGAAACAAATTGCACCCCAAAGAATCACCAGCATAATTGTAGGGGCACACATTATGTTACCATGACATATATTATTCTGCCCTTACGAGCATTACCTACTTTGGAGTTGTCTGTAGTGCCTATCCCTAACATTACAATGTGCAATAACTATGTATAAAAAATGTGTCCTTGCACCAGACTCATTAGTTGCGGTGTTATTGCAGGATGCTGCCGCTTACGGTTGGGAGTTGGAGCCCGAGAACATCAAAAATACCTGGAGCACGCTTAGACAAGCCGTGCAAAATCATATCAAATCTGTGAACTGGGTCACGAGGGTGGAATTGCGTGACAAGTAAGTAGGTACAAACGTGTACATGTTTGATTTAATCGTACATTTTGCAGGAAAGTGGAGTATATTAATGGTCTCGGCACATTTAAGGATCCAAACACTATTCAAGCCCAAACGAAGCAAGGTGAACGTACACTTACCGCGAAATATATACTAATAGCAGTTGGGGGTAGACCGCGATATTCCGACATTCCAGGTGCAATTGAATATGGTATTACTAGCGATGATATTTTTAGCTTAGATCGAGAGCCGGGAAAAACACTTGTTATTGGTGCAGGATGTATCCTTTTTATACTTATTTATTTTGCTATCTGTCATTTCATTCTCAAGGGCAGGTTAAAAACTGGAGACATTTATTGTAGTAGTGCCTTTTTTTTCCTGGTTTTTTTTGTAAATACATAATTTGATGGAAACCATAAACAAATTCAGATTCTAAGTACATAGTAATTGTTAGAAAATTTAAAGAAACTTGATTTTTACAAATCAAAGACCAGATTTTTATTATTGCTGCTGTTATTTTGAGATGCTGTCTATCTGGAAACGTTCCCTAAACCAGATGGTGTATCTTTATCCCAAAGTCAAATTGTTATAGCATTTCAACCGGATTAAAATAGTTTGGGATTTTTAATTTCAACAGCTTTTTCCTTACAACAACTTAGATATTGGTCTTGAATGTGCCGGATTCCTCAAAGGGTTAGGATACGATTCCACCGTAATGGTCCGATCGGTGGTGCTGAGAGAATTTGACCAACAAATGGCTCAGGTTATTACCGAGTCAATGCAGGAACGTGGAGTTAATTTCCTATTTAAGTATGTACTCTGTCCTCCTCTTAACTTTTATTTACAATCATTTCGTGCGATAGATGCTTGCCAAGCTCCGTTGAAAAATTGGATAACGGTAAATTATTTGTACGGTGGATCAATAGTCAGAAGGAAGAATTTTCGGATACCTTCGATACCGTGTTATTTGCTATCGGGCGTCGTGCGCTTACGAAGGACTTGCATTTAGAAAATGCGGGAGTGGAACTAGTTGGGGAGGGTGATAAGATTGATGTTGTCAACGAACAGACCAATGTACCACATATCTTTGCTGTTGGTGATGTTTTATATGTAAGACTTAATCTGTTAGTTACCATACACTATACCTGCTTTTCTGCCAGAAAAAGCCGGAGTTGACTCCAGTTGCAATCCATGCAGGAAAATTATTATCGAGACGGTTATTTGGAAATTCAAGTGCTTTGATGAATTACCACAATGTTGCCACTACTGTTTTTACACCAATGGAATATGGATGTGTTGGTATGTCACCTTTTGGTTACCTACTAAAATGAGTACCATGTTCTCCACAGGTCTAAGTGAAGAACATGCGTTAGAAGAATATGGCGCTGACAACATTGAAATCTACCACGCATACTATAAGCCAACTGAATTTTTTGTGCCGCAACGTTCTATTGTACATTGTTACTTAAAGGTGATAGCCCTACGTGAAGGTGATCAAAAGGTTGTTGGTTTACATTTTATCGGACCACAAGCAGGCGAAGTTATCCAAGGCTTTGCAGCTGCGATTAAGTAAGCATTCTAAGTTCATGCGTACTAAACTTTCTAAATGTTTTCAGTTGTAACCTAACCATGTCCGTATTAATGAATACTGTTGGTATACATCCGACAGTCGCAGAGGAATTTACCCGAATTAACATTACGAAAAGATCAGGAAAAGATCCTAACCCACAATCCTGCTGTAGTTAAGAAAACAGTATTAATTTTTTAGATTTCTCCAGACATTTGTATCACCGCTGTTACTTAAGGAAACTTTTACCTGGTTAGTTTTTTATTTATTAAAATTGTAGTAGATTTTGAACTATTTTAATACATGTGTAAATATAACAAATGGCTTTTAAATATTTTTTGAATACTTATTGTATTTTATTTACTCATTAATTCCATCTCCATGACACAGCTCTTACCATTTGACTAGAACGACCCATCTGCTATAATATTTTATCCTAACTATTGAAATGATGATTTGATTTGAAAGTTAATATATTTTTTATTTTGCCTTTATTTTTGAGTGGGCTGGGTTTCACCCAAGGCTGCTCTACCAACTCAACCCACTATACATTTACAAATATACATGCCCGAACCCGGATTCGAACCAGGGACCCTAGCACCACAGTCCAGCTTTAACTGAACTGCGCCACACGAGCCGGCTATTTATATATATAATATTTTAGGTTTACAAATTACAACAATGATTATAAATATGATAGAACAACAATTATTGTAAATTCTAGGAATTGGTTCTACAATGCAATGGTCTGACAGATAAATGACTTTAAATCTTGAGGATTTTACTTACCATTGTATGTATATATATATACAGGGTGTTTTTTTGGGAGCTTTAGTTAAACGTTTCTGGGAAAGTAAAATAGGTAGGTTTTTGAAAATTTGAACTTAGGAGTTACTCTGAAGGCCGAATCGATGTAAAATATTTTCAAAATCGCCGCACTTCCGGAAACACCGGAAGTAGATAGTAACTTCGTTATTTTAAATGGCAACCCCTATTTTTTATTGCATTTTTGGATTCTACGTGAAATTTCAATGCATTTGGTACCCATATGTCGATATCTGCCATTTATGGTTTTTAAGTTATTTTGACTTTAAGAAAAAAAATTGCGGATGCAGACGGTACCTTGATAATTGATTACTTGAAAACGGTTGTAGTCATGGCAACACATTTTTACAGTGCATAGAGAATGAATAGGGCTTTCTTTTAGTGTACTTAACAAAAAGTTAAGTTGCGTACAACCGCACCTATGGAGATCCAAATTTAAGAAACTTTAAAGTCTATAAACTCAGTTTTTTTTAATGGAATGACCTTGTTCTTACTATTGCATGAGATAGAGAATCGAAATTGGCATATTTTGATATTACATGTTCCTATAGCTATCTTTAACAGTTTCTGACTTATTCCCATTTTATTGAATTGACACACTATTTTTTTCGGATTTTCTTTTTAGTAGTCGGCCATGATTTTATAACAATCGAATTTTAAACAAATCTAGTGACACTAATCCGTCACCTACTGTTATAGGTGAACATAAGTTTTTCAAAAATCGAAAAATGACTCGGAGTGGTTTCACCTATTTTGGAATTTAATTGTTATTTATGGTGAAATGGACAGAATCGCACCACGTGCTTGCCGTACATTCATTCGAACACTGGAACGAGATTGTATCAATTTTGGAAATGTTGTACCCCCAAATGCACTACAAACCGTTGAAGCACAAGTGATACAAAGCTCTACAAGAGAATATTTAAGAGAATGAATTGAATTGCAAATGCAAGATTAACAAAATAAATTCAATGCAAAATACAAAAAACTTCGTTGAAACATTTTTGGTATGGAATTGTTGCTAGAACAGATATTGCATTACCTCTCTTAATTTCCAGACTTATACATTGTTTAAGAAATTCAGTTGAACGACTCTGTCTAGATTTTTCAAAAATTTTCCGTCCTACATCCTTAACAAAAATTATTTATTAATGAATTATTTAGACTAGAATCAATGATATTAACGAATCCATTCCTTGATTTGTTTAAAATTCGATTATTATAAAATCATGGCCAACTACTAAAAAGAAAATGCGAAAAAAATCGCATCAATTCCTAGATCAATTCAATGAAATGGGAATAAATCAGAAACTGTTAAAGATAGCTATAGGAATATGTAATATCAAAATATGTCAATTTCGGTTCTCTATCTCATGCAATAATAAGAACAGGGTCATTCCATTTAAAAAACTGAGTTTATAGACTTTAGTTTCTTAAATTTTGATCTCCATAGGTGCGGTTGTACGCAACTTAACTTTTTTTTAAGTACACTAAAAGAAAGCCCTATTCATTCTCTATGCACTGATAAAAATGGGTTGCCATGACTATAACCTTTTTCAAGTAATCCATTATCAAGGTACCATCTGCATCCGCCATTTTTTTTCTTAAAGTCAAAATAACTTAAAAACCATAAATGGCAGATATCGACATATGGGTATCAAAAGAACTGAAATTTCACGTAGAATCCAAAAATGCAATAAAAAATAGGGGGTTGCCATTTAAAATAACGAAGTTACTATCTACTTCCGGTGTTTCCGGAAGTGCGGCCATTTTGAAAATATTTTACATCGATTCGGCCTTCAGAGTAACTCCTAAGTTCAAATTTTCAAAAACCTACCTATTTTACATTCCCAGAAACGTTTAACTAAAGCTCCCAGAAAAACACCATGTATATTACTATACAATGATTTTACTTTTAAAAAGTGTCAAAGGTTGGGATTGTTTTATATCCAGTTTTAGTGTATAAAATTTTGTTTTTTAAAGTTGTACTCTCTGCTTCTGACCATGAGTAGTGGAAGAATACAAAGCGCGTTTTACATGCTGAAAGTAGCTTAACCGAGGGCATGCGCACTAGATGCTTTATTGAAAGTCCTTACTACCAACGTACAAAGTGTAGAGGGGGTATTGACATCTGTTTAGTTCCATCAAATGTTTCCATCACGCTAAGGCAACATATGAAATGATGGGTGTATTGGGTCATTTTTGGAATTAATCCCCACTTTTTTGCATTCGTCTACAAGTCAGTAGATGATAAAATAATTTAGATGTACAAAATAAGACAAATTGTATTCTTACTTATAATGGGATTACAAAGACTATAACTAATTAATACAATATAATTAATCACTATCAGAAACTTCACTAGACGCAGGCGTGCTTTCAACTTCCTCCTCCTCATCCTCATCATCAGACTTCTTCTTCGACTTTGATTTTTTCTTTTTACCATCATCACTATCTTCTGATTTTTGTTTTGCTTTCGATGTCTTTTTTTTAGCATCCTCTTCACTATCTTCCTCCTCTTCGTCGTCATCATCCGATTTGGGTTTTGCCTTTGACTTCTTCTTTTTGGCATCCTCTTCGCTATCTGACGCTTTACGCTTTTTACCACTCTTCTTTTCATCTTCACTCGAACTGCTGTCATCGTCGCTAATATACTCCTTGCTCTTAAACGATCCGCTAATTTTCGGTGATGTGGTAGTCGTTTTCTTCGAGTCCTTTTCAGATTTTTTAGATTCTTTATCCTTAGATGAGCTACTGCCGCCACCCTCGGCTTTCCAAGCCTTCAACGCCACCTCATACTCTTCTTTTGCTTTGGCTGCCTTTTTCTCCCATTCTGACTTATCCTTCAGTTGCTTCCACATTTCTCCACCCTTTTTGGCGATTTCAGTCACCTTAATTCCCGGATTTTCGCTTTTAATTTTTTCGCGATGCTCGTTCAGCCAAAGGAAGTAAGCGGAGGATGGTCGCTTCGGTCCATCCCTTTCCTTCTTTTTTTTGGTAGTCTTTCTGGGTTTCTCGGATACTGTTTTGGCCTTCTTCTCCTTTTTCTCTTTCTTGGGTTTCTTTTCTTTCTTCTCCTTGTCGCTACCTAAAATGACAGTAAGTAATTAAATTAACATTGTGGTGGCTGTACCTGATTCTTCATCGGAAGTAGTCGAAGGATTACTGTCGAATTCTTCTGCTACGTCACTCTCCGCTTGTCTTCCAGGACTGAAATCTTCATCCGTACTACTTCCATCAGAAGATTCGTCGGCTCCGCGCTCCTGGGCTTCGGCCTTGACCCGTTCAAGGTAGGCATCAGGTGCGGCCTCCGTGTCAGAATCTCCAAAGTCATCCTTATAGTTCGTTTTATCCTTGAATACAAACTATTAACTCGTTCATTATAAAGTGGATTTGACTTACCTTTTGACCCCTATTTTTAACATGTAATTTCTTTGCGGTAATGAAGTCAAAGAGTTTTCCATACTCTTCCTTTTCGATACTGCTGAAGGTGTGTACTGTTCCAGATTTGAGCTCAATTTCGAAATCAAAAGAACGAGTGCTACCACCACCACGTGCAAAATTGACTGATGCAATTTCCTCAAATCGAATGTGTAATGGAGGTTTATGAACATATATAAAGCCTCGCTCCAGAGGGTAAAGGTAACCGGCTGCTGCCTTAAATGAACAACCCACTGCAGGGGTGCCTGAATGACTACAATCAACAGTAACTGACTGGTTTTAGTTAGTGCTAGTTACTTACCCTATGAAGTTGCCAGGACCTGTGAGTTTCCGGTTTAAAATGTTTTTCATAACTTTTCCTAAAACCTCATAAGTAGGTCCTTCTAATTCTTTTTCCAGCTTATTTTCATATTTCTCTTTCAACTCCTCTCTGCGAGAGTAAAATTAAACAAGGATAACATGAATCTAACACTTACTCTGTAAACGGTAATTCGATAGAAGTGCGCTCATCTGCACCAAAAAGAAGCACTAAAAAGTGGTAGCGTGTTTGACCTTGTTTAATTGGGGGATCTAAACTAATAACGAAGAACATTTGTCGAATATCCTTATGGGGTAGGAGAAACAGACGTAATACGGTCGACATTGGAATTTTGTAATCGAATGTTTTACCGTGCAGTTGGAAAAACGTTTGAAATATTTTAATATCGTAACGACCACTGAAACGAAATCATTAAAAAACGTAGTTTACAAAAAGGTCGACCAACCGAGGCGTGAGACAGTGAATTTCTCTAAATATTGCAATTGCATCACCGGAAACACTGATAACGCTCGCTTTCTTCATCACCTGCTTTTGGAACGCATCCACTGGGTCGACATCACCGGCTAGTTCACTGGCGGGTATATAAAATCTCATTTCCATTAAACTTACTGGTGCATCGTCATTCTAAAAATTAGTCTCGACTTTATCATACCAACATATCCATATAATACAACTTAGATTTCCCCATATTCCTAGTATCTTTCACCATGTGAAAGTGAAATAAAGGAAATAATTAAAAGTAAAGATGACAATGAAAAAAAAAATTTCAAATAATTCTGAAGTGGAAGACATGAACTAAAGAACTATGAACTTTAAAAAGGGGAGGACACTTTTCTACGCCCTCTCAACCTACCTGGTGAAATTCTAGCGTGACTTCATTTTTGCCCGTCACACACTGCGACACGTGATTTAACGGTATCTCAAACACAGTCTTCTCCCCGATGTCAAAACCGAGAACAGACCCATTAAACTTGGCAGTACCCCAATTCCACCCCTTCAAACTCAACTCCTTTTCCAATGTCTCCTTCTTATACGACGCCGTGAAAAACTTCGCGATCTTCTCCTTTTCGCCCTCCTTAAATCCGACGAAGCGATGCAACGCGCCGTTCTTGAGAAAAATCCGAAGCCCCCAGTTCCCGACGAAATTTTGAAAATTTACAATGTCAATTTCGGACCCGGGAAACTGCTCCACCTTGCCCGTCTTGCTGTTTTTAAATATAATTGCCTGATCGGTCATTTTAATTTTGCCAGGAATCTAAAATGTGTTAGGCTTGTAAGGGTGGTTAAAGACAAGTGGAAGGGCTTACCATGCAACCCTTTATTTCCGCCGTGATGTCCGAGTATTCTAAAAAGTCCACCATGGTTGATAATGTTGATATTCGCCGCAATTAAACTATTTAAAAGGTAATATTCCACAACAATGGTCAGCAACAAATGCCATTGGAAAGTAAGGTTAAGTTGTTACCAAACTGAGTTTTGTAGGTTGTGCGTTCTCTCTCAGACATACAAAAACAAGCGAGATGCAAATAGCCTACGTGCGGCGACTTCACGAGCCCAGGTTTGCCAAAACAAATTCATAAGGTAAAAACCCTAAATTTGAGCGGTAAACAGATTCGTAACTAACCTAACTATTTTTGTAATCAATTTTTTAACTAAATTCCGCCACAAAGTGTTCTTTAGAGTTATAAATTACATAAAACGATCTTCAAAGTGTTGAATACCATGTGTAAGTGTTTAAGAAATAGAAGCTATAAATATTTACGCTAAAATCAAAGATCCTGTAGTATTGCTAACATTTGAAAATCTCATATTCCTCCTTGAATACCCAAGAAGTGATCAATAACAATATTGTCAAGTAATGGTCAAGCGTTTTTCCTGCATTATGTTGAATTTACGACCACTAAAGACTACTGTTTCTAATTTACAGCTCGGGATTTACCAGATGAAGATGTGATATTAGATATTTCCAACTGCCAAGATTTTGCCGGCAGTTGGATGTGTCTTCAGACGCTCGGCGAGGGAGCTTATGGGGAGTAAGTATAACTAAAAACCGGAGCAATTTTTGTCTAATGATAATCATTAAGGGTGAAGTTATTAATGCATCGCCACTCGAAGGAGACCCTGGCCGCAAAAATAATCGACCTGAAAAAACATAAGGATGCCGCTCAAAATGTCCGTCGAGAGGTACGCATCCACAGTATTTTAGATCACGAGAATATCATCAAAATGTATGGCAGTCGATGTGTAGGCGATGCACGTTACGAAATTATTTACTTGGAATTTGCTGCCGGTGGGGAACTGTTCAACCGAATTGGTAAGAGGTTTTGTTGATGAGGGGGAAACCGCACTCTAAAAATTGCATAGGTATACACTCATTCCACATTGAATTTTGTAGTAATTTTTCTCTAATACATCAGTGTTGTGCATGATTTGGTCATAGATTGTATTTCCTCTATGGTTAAGTACAGGGACCCATAATTTATAAACTCCCTGGTTATCAGTTTTAATTTTAAACCTTTCGCTCAATTAATATAACAACAAATGCCCAAGGGACTGGATTTGGGTTGAAAAAAGACCAACTCCTCCTAGAGAAGTAGTGTCGTGTACAGGAGATCCCAGTTTTTATCTATATGTTTGACTACATTACTCACAAACATGTTTTGATGCCATATTTCGGCAGATTATTAGTGTTACTGATATGTATTAAATAATTAATATATGTAACTATGAGTATTTAATTAACAATAATTAGGACCGATCAGTACCACAACAAATTCTTATACCATTTTCGTTGTCCACCCAGAATTGCAGTGGATTTTTTTTCCTTCTAATACTCAAAAACTTATTTCAGATTCGTGATTTTCATGTTCCCCCCAGATACCAAATTTCATCAAAATCAGAATTTTTTTTCGCACCCCCTGTTAGGGGTGCACCCTTTCATTGTTGGGTCGGCTATTATCTATATAGATAAAAATGAATGTCTGTCTGCCTGTCTTGTATGCCTATCTAAATCGTTCATTTGATTGCGATGAAACATTGGGGAATGGTTGGACGTATGCCCGCGAAAGTTTTTTAGTTATCTAGTAAAACACTTTTTTTGGAAAAAATCCCAAACTCCATTGCTCGATGTCCAAGACATGATTCATGTGTGTTTTTAATGACCAACATATTTTTGGCAAAAAATTTCAAAATATTTATGAAACGATTTTTTTGGGAACCGACTTCAGGTTTCTCTATATGAAAGCTTGTGTGTTCTAGATCAAAAATTAACAATTAACTTTAGCATCCATCACTTTATTTCCCAAATCCGCCTAAATCCTTATTTATGTATCAATTTTCTTGGGAAAAAGATAAAACTTGATTGCTCGATACCCAAGAATAAATGATACAGGTGTATTTTTGGCGCCGTATTGACTTCAAATGTAGTCTCTAACGTCTTAATCTCGTTCACTGCAGGGGCCTTTGATTACAAAAAGAATGAATCCATTTGCGAGCGAGCGAGGTTTAAAATGTGCATAACAGTTTTTGCTCTAATCTGCACCAAAATTCTATTGCGGTTTCCTTGAGGCGGTTTCCACCTCGACCTTTGATCAATCTGAACATTTTCTATGTTTAGAGCCTGATGTGGGGATGCCGATTGACGAGGCTCAAAAATACTTTCAGCAGTTATTAAACGGTTTGAGCTACTTGCATCAGAGAGGAATCACGCATCGTGATATCAAACCGGAGAACTTACTACTTGATATCAATGGTAACCTGAAAATAAGCGACTTTGGTATGGCTACGGTTTTCCGTTTGAGAGGAAAAGAACGGTTGCTGGATAAAAAGTTGCGTAGTAGTCAATGCGATTGTAACGTATTAAAGATCTGTCTTGTAGATGCGGAACATTGCCATACATTGCCCCTGAAGTTTTACTTAATCCGTACAGTGCAGTAGAAGCGGACATCTGGTCTTGTGGAATTGTATTGGTTGCAATGGTAGCCGGAGAACTCCCGTGGGATCAGCCAACTATGGACTGCATCGAGTACGGACATTGGATTAACGACCAGTATTTACTCATAACACCATGGAGTAAAATTGAAAATACACTCCTCAGTTTGGTTAGAAAAATACTGTCACTCAATCCTAAGAAACGACTTTCGACAGAACTCATTTTACGGCATCCTTGGCTGACAAAGAAATTTGTGGCGAAAGGTTTGTTCTTCGTTCCTATTGAATTACAGGGTTCCATTGAAGAGCTCACTTTCGATGTTCTTACTTTGGCAATTTAGCGGTGTGGTGTATTTCGATATCATAAAGCTAGATTACCAAAGCACGAATTTTGGAAATTACTCAACACATGCTGGATGTGGATTTGATTGTGGGTAACTAAGTTTGTGATCTTTCCGCACTATTTTGTTATTCTGGGAACATTGAAAAACACACAAGTAGAAATCTGAAAGAACAGGTTTTGAACTACGGTTGAACTGTGTAACTTGTTACACAAGTTCGAGAAGCTAACTTGGATTTTATTGTTCTTTTACGTTGAAGAACTTTGGCAGTATGTTATATGTAACATGGGACTTTCGATAAGTTTAAAAAAGATGGCGGCACTTCTGCTTAGACCGGAAGTCGGCGGTATAATTTTAAATGGCATGCTCCGACCGGCGTACCTATTCGATTAATAAATTAAAACTTTAAGTTAAAGTCTGTTTACTAACAGAAATCATTAAGCTCCTCCACAAAAATTACCACCACATTTAAATATAACTTTTCATTTGGTCGTATTTTCAAAACCCGGAACAAAGCATTTACCATACCTACCTCAATTATTGCAGAGCGATAGATATACAACAATCAAAGCCGCTTTATTAGAATAAAACTTCCATAGTACCTACAACATGGTAATTTCCATAACAACTCTCCCCATCTTGTCAAAAATTCCATTTAGTACGAAACGTTAAATAACATTATCCTCGACTTCTGCTTGTGTGTTTTTTTCTATGCTGAAACCCCTTGAAATCTCCGAATCTTTCACCCATCTCTTAGTTCATTTTATGTTTTCCTACACAAACTTGTACTGGAAACATTAGCAAGATTCAAAATTATTTATTTTTGAAGCTATCTATAATGCAGTCTACTTCCATTTAAGATCCACAACTTCAATCCGCAAACGGAGACTACCCCTGTATGGCATTATCCCAACCAATGCCTTGCAATACGTCACGCGTAAACCCCGCGAATATTGCAGAATTGCTTAAAGTGAACGAGCACCACTACTTCTCGCAGCCCACTCAAAACGACGATCTGCTCATTAGCTCCCAAATACAGCTCACCCAAACTCACAAAAAGGTTTGCTATTACGGTTTTTGAATTGCAATTAAAACACAAGTTTGTTTAGAACGATTTTCCACATTTAATTAAGCGCATGACGAGGTTCTTTGTCAAAACCAACTGCGAGGAAACCGTGCAGAGGATAGGGGTGCTGTTGGATGCTCTCCTCTACAAGTGGACCATGGATGAAGGAGGGGTATACGTTACAATAGTACATTGGAAATGGTTGCACTTAATACTTTTAGGTCACGATTTCCACAACCGACCGTAGAAAAGCGCAGTTAGTATTCAAAGCCAACGTTATTGATATGAATGGGAAGATTTTGTTAGATTTTCGGTTATCAAGAGGCTGCGGATTGGAATTTAAAAGAAGGTTTTTGCAGATAAAACGTGATCTGGTGGAAATTATTTTAAAACCTGCAGCCGATGTTAAAGGAAAGTAATTGTAAAAGTTCCTTTTTACCAAAAGCAGTTTTATTAAGTAAATTTCAGGTTTTTTACTGTGGTTGTGTGTTACCGTTGTTGTTAATAAATTTTGATTGAGTATTTATGGTTCAGTGTTACAAAGATGTGTTCTACATTTAATAAATATATATGTTTGAAATGACCTTAGACTTATTTTTCTACTACCCCATCAGTCCTCTTCGTTCTCGTTAAGGTTGCTCAAATATCGATCGCTTGCAATCACTTAATTTTCTCCAGAAGATTTATAATAAAACTGAATATGCTCAAACTATCTTTCCGCCGTCGAAAACATTTGTATTTGCAATTATTTTTTTGAATGACAAAGTAGCGACTAGCAATTGAACAAAAATGTCAAAAAAACATTTTTTGATAATTACCCCATCGATTTTTGAAAGCAAAACATTTATAAAATCCCTCCACCATCTACTATAACATTAGCCCTAAACATTCCTATTCCTGGTTATAAATATGATAACGTTTACGTTACCATTTTAAAGATATGGACAAATCTAACTATTTAGCCCTCCTAATTTACACAACAATTATCATGCTGCTTAAGAAAAATTTCAAAATAAATGTTCACTGAAGCAAAGATTTTTTTATTATTATATTTTTTGATACACAAAAAAAATAATTTTTGAGTTTTTGAAGGAGGAATTACGACGCTGGGTTTTACAAAAAAAAATGTAATGAAACTTTCATTTTTCACGGCACTAGAAATTAATTATGTCCGTTTGTAAGTGCTTATCTGAAAAATTGAAAAAAATTCAAAGCACCGTAATAAGTTTAAAATTTAAATACACTATTTTCGTTTACTGCCATTGCCAAATCTTATTAAATAAAAAATCCAGTGTTCCAAGTGGTCTCAGTGCTGAGAGCTATTAGCTATAGGTACTTACTCCTAAATAGGCACTTTTGCGCTCTTGATGTCTGTCTGTCTGTCACAGAGTCACAAAGGGTCCGGAACTACACCACTTGGTGCTGATGTCATTCGATCAGAAATTAAAAATTATTTCATGTTTGTATTCTCGTTAAGGCACGACATTTCCATAAGAGCTATTAAAATCGAAAAAAACAAATTTGAAAGTGCACTCTTCGCCTCCTTTTCGGGATTGTGTTGTTGAAGGTCCCCTGATGATTGTGTCGACCATATAAATCTTAGATGACGCGTAGACAAGGGAGTAAGTCAATAACCAAACAACTACCTAATAAAAAAATGTTAATTAACATTTTAAATTTAATATAACAAATATGATTATTTTTTACCGAAACTACCAAAAAAAAAGAGCTAGCTGTGTGCTTTGTCATATACGAAATATGCGTAAAAACAGTTTTGGTAGAAAACACTTTTTCTTATTAATTTTGGTGCGTAGAATCCAAAACAATTCGTACTTTTTCGATCAGACTTCTCAATCAAAAGTTATAGACTAGAAACCAATTTCGAAAGAAAACTCAAAGGGCTGTAACTTTTGAAATAGTAGCCCATAATCTTGGAACTGTTTGAAATTATGGATTCTACAGGCCACATTCTATAAGAAAATTTTTTTTCCGGGTCGATATGAGACAATTTTTTTGCGGGCCTCAAAAGAAGACAGTGTATAACCTTCCTTTTTTACCAAAAATCGACTACACCAAAATTTCTCGGGAAAACACTTTTTCTTATTAATTTTGGTGCGTAGAATCCAAAACAATTCGTACGTTTTCGATTAGACCTCTCAATAAAAAGTTATGGACAAAAAACAAACTTCGAAAAAAAATTCAAAGAGCTGTAACTTTTGATCTAGTAGCCCAATCTTCAAACTGTTTGAAATTATGGACTCTCGATCGATCTCGATCTCAGACAATTTTTTTTCCGGCCTAAAAAAAGGCAGGTACCTTTTATATAAGAATATAATAATAATAATACGCTTTTACTCCCCTTAAATTTGTATATAACAATAGAAATATAAAAAAAGCTAACCCCATACAAAGTATAACTTGATTTTTTTAGTAGTATTAAGCCTTTTATCTAGTATACTATTTTAAATTTTTAATGTATTTGAGTGACAAGTATTTGAATACTTTTTACTGTATTCGAATACTATAAAAAGTATAGTATTAGAATACTTTTGAAAGTATTCGAATACATTCTAAAGTATTTGAATACTTATTTTTTTTAAGTATTTGAATACTTTTCAATGTATCTGTATCTAGTATTCGCTTGTGCTGGACGTAAAAGTATTTAGTATTCAAATACCTTTGATTTGTGTAAAGTGTTTACTATTTAGTATTCAAATACTTTTTGAAAGTATTCTGCTCAGCTCTGATACTCAGTCAAATCGCAACTTTCAGTCAACTACAAGAAAATCGCTCATTGGGATATTAGGAGAATATGAAGGGGAGAAAGTTGCATTTCTCTCAAATCGTGATATGGCGACCTCTGTGTTATGAAAATGACAATTAAAATAATAGTGTTCCGCACGCAATAAATTAGTGGACAATTCAATGAACTAAAGCCAGATGCCGGAACTGTACGTACGATCCTTCACTCAACGGTACGATCCATCAGAAATTTGAATATATTAAGATGAAATACATTTCTCCCTTTATTATTTTTTGCTAATTATTAATAGATGCATACGTAAATACAGGCGCAGATTAGTGTAGACCGTATGGTAATCTGTGTTACAGGATAGAACCATTGTATTTATCTATATAGCAGAGCTGGGTAAAATACTTTTCAAAATCTATTTAAAATAGAAAATACAAAATAAGAAATGCTAATTTATTTTAAATACAAGATACTAAATAGGTTTGGTATTTCTATTTAAAATACCAAATAGAAAATAGGTACCTCTAGCTATTTCAACTAAATATTTCAAATAAGTACCTATCATACCTGTTACATTGATCGTTATTATTATAATAGTGTCAGCATTTGTATCTCCTTTAATTTTCTTCCAAAGATCATACACACTGATTTTTGTTTCTTCTCAATAACCCAAACTCATTGAAAGGCGCAGGTTCTTAGGTGCTCCATTTAGGTTTTTGAAAAAATGAATTCGTATCTAATTAAACTTGATAATAGCCGAAATTACTAAAGATAAATAAATGATACTACACTGATTACTTTATTACTCACTCATGCAACACTTTCTGCCAGTCACAAGAAAATTTCTCATTCTGCTAGTAGGAGAACATGAACTGTCCGGATGTAATATAGTCACGGATCAGTTTATATTGTTTATATTTGTTTTTAGTAGCGATAAACAATATAGAATGTTTTCGAAAATTGTTGCTTCACGCAAGACGACGGCGCCGTGCCTGTTTCTACACAAAAAAATGGACGGGAACTGAAAATTCCAAATAGATTGCAAATGAAAAATTCAATTGTGGCAAATAGATAACATTTTCAAAACCTCGTATAAGGAAACCATATTTATAATAACTAATAAACTGTTTCAAAATTCAAAGCAATATAGACAACGAGCGACCAACACTGACAGACTGACGAACAGAAAGTCCAAATCACCCAAATTCAGTAAGTTACCTTATTTTCGTTTAGGCAAATAAAGCCCTTAAACGAGCTAGCTGTGCTTTTTCATAAAGAATGTCGTAAAATATGTGAAATGAAATCTTTTCTGTTAACTACAAGAAAATCGCTCACCGTGATATTAGGAGATCATGAGTAAGAGAAAGTTAATAGTTTATACTTTATAGAATTTCTCTCATTTTGTTATTGTACTGACCTCTATAAAATGAAAATTTATTAAAATAATAGTTGCTGTGAAGTTTTCTGCACGTATGTAGTACCTAATGGTAGCAAATAAGTAACGGATTTAGTGAACTCAAAAATAATAGCTTTGTTTATTCATTTAAATCAATAATGATAATAGTGAATAAACAATGATAACACAACACTAAATAGTAGATAGTGGTGAATTAAAGCCAGATGCTTCGTGTCAGAGTCGGAGTAAGCTGTAAGTTTCCTCAGAATGGAAAATGCGGTTGTTTTAAATTTCCATACAAATCCCCTATGACTAACATATCCTTTTCTTCTCCATGCAGTATTTTTTTTGCTAATTATTAGTATAACCAGAGCCTACTTGGTATAACCAATAAATAAATGAATGGTATAACCATAAAAACCATTGAATAAAGAATCTTATTATTCAATGGTATAACTTAGGTAGGTATAAGTAACAAATAACAATGCTTTTAGCTTTATTAAGTTGTTTGCGGAGGGGACCGCGGGAACAAAAATTTTTTTCTATAGGCAAGTTGAAACTTAAAAATGTTTGAATCGGGAGCTAAGTTCCAAAAATTTCCCGAATTTTCCCAAACTTATAGGACGATGGAATGGAGGTTTTTATGTACTTGCTTACAATTCGTTCCTAATTAAAATGTAATATATAATACCTAAACAACAGAGAGATATGTACGCACGCATAACTCCTCACTTCATCACACACAACATTTTCTGCCAACTACAAGAAAATTTCTCATTTTTCTATTAGGCAAATATGAACCATCCAGAAGTAGGTAATGTATATATCGATTTTCTCTCGACAGTAAAGGCGACAACTAATAATGAAAAGTTTCCTGCACTTACTTGTACATAAAAGTACCTACCTATTGCAGTTAGGTACGTCAGATGTCAGATTGGTAAGGCTTGCTTCAAGATGAATTTGTAACGATATGGTCATTGGTCATTGTACTTCTTAATCGATATACAATATGGATATTTCTCATTTTGATTGTGAAAAAATTGATACCTACATGGAAAGATAATCATAATTTTATTCAGAATTTAAATTCTCACAAATTGGGCATTACAAACAAATCTATGACATCCACTATCCACTCCACAGTATATAGAACTTGATAGAACTAAAGTGGCCAAACTTCAAAAAGGAATTCAATTTCAATTCAATTCAATTCAATTTTATTGTTACCTTTTGACAATGGATTAACATTGTGTAAGGGCTAGTCAAGACAGTAAAAGAATAAGATTAGGTAGGTACATAGTTGCAATTTACAAAGTTTAAATTAAAAAGTAAATAAATTTATTTGCAGATGTTTACGAATTCGTCGATTTTATAGATTGCATTTTGAACTAATAACTTTTTTAATTTTAACCTGAATAAAAACCTGAATTAAAACGCATTTACTTGTAGGGGTGACCCAGAATGAATATGAAAGAAACACCCGTTGTCTTTGCGCCAAATTAATTTATTGGAAAACACAATCATTGTCGTGGTCAATTTGTACGCAGTACTGTCCTCGTGCGCTGAAAAAAACAGATAAGTACTTCTATAACGATTATGTTTCCACAAATAACGCTGCCATTTAAAATACTGAATTATAGACAACGCAAAATCAGTGAGCATCTAGATTTTCCAAAAAAAATTACTAGGACAAGAAGAAAATTACCTAGAATCTGAAGGAATACCTACTACAATGGCGTCGTAAGGCCCATCGCAACTTCTTTTCCTGGTAGTAATCCCCAAGATTGCCTCTTAGGGCAGGATAAAGTACATGGCTTTCCATAAAACATTCGATTGTCTATCACCGCTTGAGCAAAGTAGCAAACGCTTTGAAAATGGCTACATCTTGAACGCCCTATTGAATACGGTACTGACAAACTTTAGAAAGTGATGTATATAGTTACGTATAGCATTTCCTTTGCAACCCGGTTGGAGCATTCCTCCATTAATACAAAAATTCACGTGTCCACTAGCTCCTTCTTCCCCCAAAAGACCGGCGTTTGTGTGCACCACTTGCACGTTGTACGCATCTTCGCGCGATAGTCTGAAGGTTGTGTCAGAAAACTGGTTAATGAGAGGTCTTGCTGGATCCAACCCTTGAACAAAGATTTATTGAAAAACTCGATTGTGTTCGCACGAAACGTACCTACAATCTTGAACTGCTTCACGTCGAGATAGTTACTCATCATACCGCAAATATGCGCCCCCAACGAATGTCCAACACACACAGTTTTCACGGCCATACCTCCCCAGTTCATAATGTAAGCGTATAACTGCGCACTGCACTGCGATACCAGTTTCAAATTTGACAATGCGGATAGATAACAAGGGAAGCGGCCGAGATCGTGCCATTCCACCATGAAAACATTATGATCTCCTCGATCGAGATAAGCTACAATAGTTGAAAAGTGTGTTGAAAGTTTGGAAATTCGGGTTTCACCTTTCCGCAACAGCTTCAACGGGTTGGATTTATGGGTGCCATTGAAGCCGTGGATTATAATCGCGTTGTTTTTGGTTTGATCCCAACCTGCTGCGTTTAGTGCGATGTTGCTTCGTACATCGATGCGTTTTTGGATACTCGGTTCTTCTCTAAAATTTGTACAGTTTTAAAAAAAAAGTGAATCGCTGTAAAGTAAATCAAGTCCTAATTGACATTTAGAACTTCAATTGTACTTGATTCTTTTTTTGTGATCTTGCATAATTCTGGTCCCTGAGCAATTTGGGATAAAATGCGGTATAAATGTTCCATAATCCTTTTTGAATTTTAATTTCAAACTTTCAAAGTCTATTTCGCCCCCCTGTAGGAAGGGGTAGTAGAATTTTCCTACCGCAGGGGCACTGCGTGTCGTAAGAGGCGACTAACCAACGGCAGGCAAGAGAATTACTCTTTTCTCTCTCATTTGGTCTCCATTGAACCAAATGAGTTGTTTGTTTTTTCCGTGTACACATCAACATCTATGATGACTACTAAATGTAACCATAATCATCCTATACTATGCAAGCGGTCATTGGCCATTGTATTTTCTTCTCTGCACTCTCTCAATAATTTCGTTTTATCATAGAGATTTTCATCCTTTGCCATCTATCGGTTAGATAATTTTTCAACCAGGTTATAGTGTTTAGAAAGACCTAGTGTCTCAAGCTTGTGAATTAATCTAGAGCGACTGACAGTATCAAAAGCCTTCGAAAAGTCTAATCCACACACTATAGTAACTTTGTCGTTATCGTACTCTCCTTTCATTCAATGCAATAAACACAATAGAGCAGTAACAGTGATGTGGTGCTTACGAAAACCTGACTATTTTAGGTAGTAGAGATGGTTACTTTTTGCAAAAGTGTCGATTTGTTGGTGTACGATTCTTTCCAATATTTTAGACATTGCTGGAAGGATTTTTAATTTTAATTGTCAACCGCCTGTGTGCGAGGCATTATGTCTAAACAAGCTTTGTAAGCTTTTCTTTCTTCCGGGGATTTTATTTTAATTGTTTCATGTGTTTCAGAATAAATGTTTGTCATTGTCAATCAATTTAATGTGTGTTTATTCGAATCAATTGCGCGGCCCGGATAGAGTTTTCATGTCAGTTTTTTTTAATTGGTTCCCACGATTTATTTCAGGCGTTAATCAAAAGTTATGTAGTAAATTCTTTAGAATTTTAGGAAGTTGATAGAGGTCACCGAGTCTCCAATTGAGAAGTTTTAAGTCATTATTAGGATTTTTGTTTATAGCAGATGCCGGATATGTACCATGTGAGATATAAAATTCTAGAGGAAGTAGACGTTATTTTTTGACACGTTTATTAAAATTTGTTTGCTAAGGCTAACGATTTCGACCACTAAAGGTCATCTTCAGGCCGAGCGTCAAAAAATTTATGAATGACATTACATCAACACCAACATTGTTGTTGGTATTGGTCAGTACACAATTTTGGGGTTTGAAAATGAGAGACGAGTACTGTTACTCGCTTATGTTTTTTCTTGACTTATCGGTTTAATGCGTTGGAAATTCCTTTCGCCAACTTTTCGCCTTGATGAATTATGATATTAGTGGTACAAAATAAACGTAACTTTTTTAACTTTGCTAACAATTTTCTCCTTCACTTTATGCAGGGTATTAAAAACAAGGTTTTCTATACTTTGTGGCACTACGGAGCGCCTGAAATGTTATTGGAATTCGCTGACTTCACGATGGTTATTACTACGAACGTTTGTCGATTTCTATAAAAGCACGATATGATTACGAGGTATTTGTACTCGACACGGAAAGACGTAATTGTTTCTTCGCGTAATTTTCTATCTCGTTTTATCCGTATAGAAAAGGCACTTTTTCTGCTAGCAAACGTGCACAAATTTTACACGCCCACTTGCACTAAGGGTAGTGAAAAACTCAAACGCACTATCGTTATAACAATCCAAATGGTAACTCGTAAACTTTTCTAGTTGGGAAAAATGCTAACCATCCAAAAAACTATAGGATATTATGGACACTAGGTTGTCGCGTGGACCTAAATCTTCTCTTTGAAGCTCGGTTAATCGCGAACGTGGGATTTAATTATTGGGGCTCTAATTCACTGACCAGACGCGGATCAATAAATTTTCTGCAATGCTTATCCTCCCTCTTTCTACACTAAACTGACTTAAAACGTCTATTTGACGACGAAAAGCAATGGCGGAGATACTCTTTAATTTAAATTAACTCTTCAAATCGAAGGTGGTCTACAATACATGCCGAGGCAGCAGAAATTTACTTATCTCCTTGTCAGAGGAACCCAACTCGCAGCGTCAGGTATGAAACCTTATATTACCTCTTTCTAACACGTAAAACGATACCATTTGCCGTCAATACAATTTAAAACAAAGACGTCTCTGACAGTCAGATGACAAATTAAGCTGTTTATTACATTATATTACTAAAATTGTTTCATTCTTTTCAGTTATCTGCGAGTACTATAAAATAAAATTTTGTGCTATAACCACGGTAACCTTCATCAATCAATTCTCTTGAAATTAGAAGATCATTCCTTCTATAAAAATACACCCCTAAAAATGAACACATTTATAATACGGAAAATGTTCACTAACTGAATGATGGTGTTCTAGAGCAACAATCCGTGACTGCCATACCTTATTCGTTATTTTATAAAATGATACCGAAATTTCCTCAAATTAAGTATTGCATTCCTATTCAAAACAATAACTACTTCATTAATTGCAAAGAAACAGTATTCTAATTAATGCCATTGTTAAAAAGTAAGGTATTTCGAATTTTTAATAGTAAATTGGTTTGAAATTCCCAGCGCTCTACAATAAGATAATTTCTGCTCAATTTATAATTTAAATAAATTGAATATAACAATATAAGAGTTCGGTAATTAAAAATTGAAAAATTATAGTTTTTAGATACACTTACGCTGTATATAGATAAAATTTAATATCGTTATCTGGACACGAGTAGCTCTTCTTTAAAAGGCAGCTCCAATATTTAATATCGAACATATTTCCCATTCCTTCCCATGATGCTGCAAGAAAAGCAATGAAATTCCTTAACGATATCGGTTAAGAAAAATAAAATTAAATATGCTGTTTCTGAAGTATATTGTACGTACCGTCGAAGAGTGCGCCGGAAACGCGGTACAACAAAAAGAAGTTAAAAAGTTTAAAAATCATTTTCGCAAACGCGTCTGCAATTGTTGAGCAACTAAGGAGAATTGACTGAACTGAATTGCGGTACATATGAAACCGTTACGAACTTTTTGTGAAATTTGTGATTCGTTTCGCCTTTTTGCGTTGGAATCTTTCACTGGCATGTGCAATGAGAGCACCCGATAGAGACAAATTCGGTTAGGTGAAATGGTGAAGGAAGCCTTACAAGATGATTTCGGAACAAAAACAACAAAAAATGCGATGCATTTGTCCGTTCAGTATGATATATTGTTTTCTGGAGAAAGGATACACATTAAACGAAAAAGGGGCAATGCAAAAAATACCATCATGTGTGGAATAATAAACACCTAAGCTTTGTATATATTTTTCTAGTTTAGTCACGTTGTGTGTATTACTTCTAGACGTTTGTGCTGCGTTCTCGAAGAGAACAACAATTTCAACTGTGTACGTTTTGGATTAAGGCTAACTTTGTGGAATTAATAGTTAATGCGGTGAGGTGAAAATCCTACTTTAGTAGGTACAATACGCTAATTTAATTGGCCCATCCTTAAAAGTAAAGTTTGGAAGCGCGCCAGTTTAGATCAAGTCAAAATAATCTTTTAATTAACCTACTTTATTGGTTTCCTGCTGTAATTTCAATTCAATAGGCATTTGGAGCGAAGTACCTACTAATTGGATGGTTTGCAAGTTGACGACAAAGACACCAGTCTAGTAGCCATTGGTAGTAATTTTTGGAAAAAATGCACTAAACATAGGAAAGTGACACCCCCTACGCTAATGATACTCTGCACCCTGAGCGTTAATCAGTAAGCATGTTTTCACGTGGGGTAGAACAATTTCAACGCAATTCAGCGTTAGAGTAAAGGCATTCCCATTGGGGGTCAAGGTGGCTGTAAACTATAGGGAATCAGTTCTTGTGGGATATTCAAACGCACGATTCCGCATAGAGCTTGTCATCAACAACTAAGTGATGGATTCCAGTGAGAATTAAAAGATAATTGAATAACGATATTTCTTAGACACAATACTGCAGTCAAGTGAAAAAAAAGAAGCCTCAATTGAGGTGTTCTATGACATATTCAAGGCGTTTGATTACGAAACTTCTTACGGCATTGAAATGGTTAACAAACTTTTTGTGCAACAGGCACCGGTACGTCTATACTGTTACTATACTGTTGTTTTTTCCTTTGGGAATAGTTTTGTAATTGCGTAATTATCGCTTTTGTAAATCGTTTATTTAATGGTAAAACGTGAAATGCGTGTTAAAAGTAAGACATTTGGTCGTTTGCGATAAGAAGTTTTATTATCAGACAAAATTTTACTAACGCACGTGTTTTTATCGCTGTTACGAGGTAACGGAGGTGCAGGTGTGACGATGTGCGTGCTAGTTCGGAGTAAGTGGAGACCCGTTCCTTCGAAGCTGGAGTTATTAAGTCTAATTGTGATTGGCTGTTGATTTGAACACTCTGAAAAGGGAATTATTCTTATGATGGAAGTGGTGTTTCTTTAAATACTGGAGAAAAAAACGAGTTCGTAATTTTTTATAATAAATCTGTGCAGAAGAGAGTTCGTCGTTTTTTCAACGTGGACGACAACTTTTTATTATCTTATCTAAAATCTTATCTAAAGTACAAGAGCAAACAGCTTTTTTTTTACGATTAAAAGGCATCCTTATCACTAGATATCAATCTTTTATAAAAATAAACGAAATACCCAATAAATCAAATCAAAACTGTCACATAAATGAATTAACAAAATGAATTGATAACAAAAATGAGATAAAATTTTCCTGTCCTTAACAATTCTAGAAAATAATCTTTTGTTACAATGAAACAAATAGACTCCTTGGATACAGACTAAATACGCAAAATCGTTTTGTGTTTAACTGAAAGGAAACTTACCAGGTTAATTAAACGACCCGTATTCACTTCAGGTGACTGGACCTAAACCTCAACGTCTAAACTGACATTGTTTACACAGCAATATTGTTGTGTAACCAACGCCATGTCGATGTCGACGTTATTTAGGTCTAAATACAGAAATTAACGACAGGACGCCCTGTATATGAGAAATATTCCAATTTAGTAAAGTAAATCGGGAGGTTTATTTAGGAATAAGTATAGAGTTGGTTTGTTTTATTTGAGTTTGTATTTCTGTAGTATTATTTTTCCTTTTAATTGTGTATTGTTTGATTGGATTTGTTGTAGTAAGGTGAAATTGCGTGTTTAAATGTAGGAAACATCTGGTAAAGTTGACGTACATTTTAAAAGATTTTATCTGGTTGTTTTGTGATAAGGATGTAAGTTAACGTGCATGTTTTGGTGCTGATAACAAGAGATGCAAATGGACAACGTTGTGCGCATTATTTTCGGCGGCGTTCTTTCGAAGCTGGCGTTATCAAGGCTAATTGTAATTGGCGAGTTATTTGTAAATAGGTATACTGGAAGAAGGAGTTCATTGATGGTGGAGGTTTGGTTAAATACTGTAGACAACGAAAAAACGATTTTACTTGCTAGCTGGTTCACGACGGACGGAAAAGAGTGTATCTATCTTTACCATAAATATTTATTCGGGCTGTCCGCTCGATTTGATTGATTGGGGACGCACAAATGGTAGATGCAAAAATCTATAAGAGAATCATTGACACAACAAAGAACGCATGGACCAGCTTTATCAACTCACTGTCAAGAAAAAAATGTTGGGCTTCTTTTTTCTTAAGCCCCACCATACCCAACACATCGCAATTCCAAAATTTGATCATTTTTAAAATTTCATTGTTAATCAATAATCATGTCTTTAGTGAGGCAACTCCGAAATCCTTGTTCGTGCAGTAAACCTACCACCACATATTCGTAGAGCTGGTTTAAACATGTTCACAAGTTTGAGGCTGTATTTGTGGTCGGTGCGTATGATCTTCTTCTATGTTTGTTTTTGGTACAGTCCTACAACCCTTAAGTTTAGTGTAACTGATATCGGTTACCGTAGAAAAAAATGTCTTCATTCTCTTTTGTAATTTTTTATCGAAACTTGGAATTTTTTACTGTAAAACAAATCAATCGTGTTAAATCATTCGTATAGTTGGAGTTTGACACTGTTGGTTTTTTTCATTATTTTATCCTTGCAAAAATCTTATATGCGTCAGATTAAATTGGCCAACAAACAGAACAGTAACGAACCAAGTTAATTATTTGCGATACCAGGATGAATGGGCTGAGAGACGAGGTCCAATTAAATGAAAATCTTGATGATAGCAATTTCATTAGCGCAGAAAGACCTAAAGTAAATCAAAGGATGTACGCCCTAATAAATTTTTTTGTATCATCCTTTTAGTAATGTACCTACCTTTCTTTTCCAACCTCTATTGTAATCAAAAATGGTTCGCCACAAAACATCTTGGGGACTAATTAAAAATAATATAAAAATTGTGTTTTGTATAATGGAAACGATATCCACCTAATCACCCATTTTTTCACCTGTGTATGTAACAACCTAACAACCGGGACTTAATAAATTTATTGTCGCAAAAACATTCCCGTACTAATAACGGTCGTATTAATGTTTATTTTATTGCACTTCCTAAGAAAAGGGCACGAAAGGGAACTACAAAACATGACCCAGTTAGGTGGAAAATGTCTTTGTTTCAGAATCCAATCCAGTGTTGTAGAAGCACCGGTAATAGTAATAAAGTTTACTAATTATTCAGTTGTAGGTAATGCTTTGATGAGAAGGCGAAACGTAATCCCATCTACAAGACGCCGTGATTTCACTTCTTAAGATATGTGCAGACGAATCTAAAGTTTAATTTATTTGTCGATTGTCTGCATGTTTCCTTTATGTAACATTGTAACTAGATTTTAGAAACTTACGAGACTTTGAGTTGGCGTGGAGACCAACCTGAAATTTATACTCGTCAATACCTGGCTCTTAGCTCTGGAATCAAAGTATAGACGAACTTTAAAATTCCCTTTCTCATAAACGAAGAAACCGTTGGACGGGTTTGAAAACAGAAATCATGGGCTTTAATGACATAGCTGCGCCATTGTTTAACATTTTTATCGTAAACCGGTCATCAAGAGCATTTTCAGTGTGTAGTGAAATTTTCGAAAAGATTTCTGATTGTAATGGCTTTAGTAGTCATGTTCTGTATGTTCACGGCGTTTTCAGTTACTTTTTTTCTGAAAAATGTTTAGCTCCATTTATTTATTAGGACACAGGACCAGTGGCTTAGCATGCCCAAATGGCGTCTAGGGCAAACATTAAACTTTCCCCCTTCGTAAATTACCTAAATATAAAGCAAGATACGAAAAATCGCATACGATTTCCAGATTAGGTGGTTTTTGTGCACCGCGCGAACCTAATTAAAACAGCCCGCATTCGGAAACACGACATTTAATGCGGCTCATATTCAATAGTTTTATCATTGAACATAGAAATTGATTGGCAAAGGTTCGACGTTGCTGGCTCTTTTCGTTCTGGAGTTAGACGAGGAACATGTGGACTAAATCTTAATGTAACGCGTGTTTTTCTTTGCCGTACATTCAAGTAGACCATAATTTACCTAGAATATCCAATAAAAGTGTCAAACATAACGCTGCCTGAGGGAAGTTAATGGTCCATAATCGCTAGCACGACGACTCAGAGCACGTTGACAATATTTGATCAGTTTAAGGGAATTTTGGGCCAAATGCATGTGAGTTTTGGTTAAGGACAGTTATTTTATGTTTTGAATGGTTATTGTTTCTATAGGTGTTTCGACAATTACTCGGGTCATGTATTTCTTTTGTCTTTAGTTTCTTACATCCATACAGTAATTACATGATTACGTTAGATTATATCCCAAATTAACGTCCTATGGCTATGGTCTATGTGCCCGTTATTGATCATTTACAGTTGTATTACGGGGCAGCACCCACGAGTGGGTTTTGAAACATTTTTTGTGTGTGTCTGTGGCAGGGGTCACAGCAGATATTTTTGCACGCCGAAATGTAGGTGCACACAGCATTATTTTGATCGTTTTACTCGT